CATTCTAGCGGCGTAATAGCATTTTACTTGTATGGAACCTTTTCTTCTTTACATAGACCAAAGAATTAGAGATTCTTTGCATAGACGTTCTTTGGTTAGAATAATCTCCATGTATGGTACAATGGGATTTGGCGACATGATGATGCGCAGTAAACGGGTCATTTTGGTCTTGGCGACAATTTTCAAAATCGTGCCAAAGCCTTATACGTCTTACTAGAATTTTACATCGCAAGATCATTTTAACCGTTTTCAATTTTCTAATAAATTTACCACAAAAAAAAAAAAAGCTTAATATTTATTTGTTTACTTTATTAAACATTTCTTTCAATGTAAGTTGTTTAAGTTGCTTCATTTTATGTGATAATACTTTCTCTTTAATTCTATAAATAAACAGACATAATTTCTTGTTCAGTTACCAAGTCCTATAATTGCTGTGCCGAGAATACCGACTAACTTGTCAAACGAAATTTTTTCGTTTTTCACTAACCTCTCTGCCACATTCTTCATGTCTTTATCCATTTTTTGCAGCAATTCCACTTTTTGTTTGTTGGACATCGAAACATACTTTCGTTTTGTAGATCCTTTGGAAGTTCCAGCATCGGAAATTCTATTTGACATAATCGAAAGTTCAAGTTTACTTTTATAAAATTGCTCTTACAGTCTTCAAAAAATAATAAGCGGGATCCAATTCGAAGATTAAGGAACAACGCAATCATTAACATTAACTGAAATAGATAATTAGATAATTTTAGCTTACACCGTCCGTTATACATTAAACGCGCAGGCGAAAACGTATTCTGCACTTGCGCACACGCATATGCGCAGTAGTCAAATCTTACGCCCGCGCCTAAAACGCCTGGCATTGCGCATGCGCATGCGCAGAAAGTTTTTAGCTTTGAGGTCCGGATTATAGATCATTCCAGATTATGGGTGTCCGAATTAACGACTTTTGACTGTGCTAGAATTTTACCGCAAAATCTTTTAAAACTTTTTTTTTTTTCCTTTTAATAAATACCTTGCCATTTTGCAGTAAAATAAAAAATAGTAATCTGTCATCTAGGCTAACCATGTAATATAACTATATTCGCTAAAATATCGTTGATTATTCTAATTCAATTTTTAAGTAATTTCTTTATTTTTATGTTATTCGTATATTTAATGATGCTTTCTTCCCTCTAAATTTATTATTATTAGTAAATAATATTTCCAATTTTCAGGAAATTTTCTCTGGCATAATCTTGAAATTAATTCTAGCAGTATGATGACATACCATCACGAAATTTAATGCACATATTTTTTCCTTATGTATGCTGCGAAATAAATATAAAATACCTCAATTTATTAAAATAGATTTCTTTCTTTCGTTTAGCTGCAGAATGTCTGCAAAAAAGCCTTATTTTTATTCCAGATTGGGAAGATTCTAATCTCAATCTTCAATGGAGAAAACAACAACTATTATAATTATATTTGTGTTTTCAAGTGTTAAGGTGCTTTTTAAGAACATACCTCACACAAATTAAATTTACCTAAAATCTAACCTAACTATTTAGCATTGCGTTGTGATTTATAAGGACCGGATTAGCCTCGTGTTGAACTGGTGATGATCATGAGTAATAATTAAATAAAACATACATTTGTTATCCAATTTATATATCTTAAATTTTATTAAGTTTCTTAAGTGGAAAAGTAAACAAAATTATCAAACAAAGTATACCAAGAATAATTAAGAATAAATGTCCTCTGGGATTTATTGAATAATTAAGTGAATTTGCTACACAATACAAGTAATACCATAATTAATTTACCTCTTAGCGTAGCCAAAGTACATTACGCGGATAGACTGGAATTTTCTTGAAACACACCTGGAAAACCTGGAAAAGTCAGGGAATTTCATTCTCCTGTTTGAGTGGCAACCCTGTTGTTTACATTTGAAACAGCAAAATAGTAGATTTGTTGCCAATTTAGAGAGACTAAGCTTCACAACAAATATAATGCCTTCATTTATTATTGCGAATTAAATCATGCTTAATCCTTTCTTTAATTTTTTCGAGGAAATAAGTGTTTAAGATTTACTTCATAATTTTTAATATAGATTTTTTGAGTTTTTCTGCATTTTTGCCTTGTCACGAAGTGAGAACTGAATTAATTGAATGAGAAATGCTGAATCGTCTGTGAAAAACTGTTCCTTTTTTGTTTTGTTTGCTTAATTCTGAAAAGAACATGTGGCAATGATTAGATAAGTCTTCAAATGATATAAATTTTGTGCATATTGAGTTACAGTATGAACGAAATAAGTTAAGTCAACCTAGTGGCTGAGTATCGCTGTGGTAAACAAATGTAGTGAATTTTAAAGAGTGCATTTATTCTCTTGTGGTTTATGCGCTATCAATGAAGTAGATTTAATTCAATTCCAATAAGTTTAAATGAAATGCAAGAAAAAATGCATATAATTTAATATTCTGTACAAGGAAGTCATGTGGTGTACACATCGGATTTTTTTTTCACATAACAGTGGAAGAGAGAAAATTTAGATTCAGAAATTAATGTAACAGTTGACCCCTTTCATAAGTAATTTGATTCAACTTAATTTTTTTCTTTTTTTTTTCTTTTTTTTTTTTTTTTTCTTTTTTCTTTTCCAGTTTATTTTTATTACAGTTATCTAATAAAATTTTTGAATTTTCACTTATGTCAGAAAGATTGTTTTGGTCAAAAATACAATTTTGGAGTTGTAGTATCTGCAAAGCAAGTGTGTTTGGTACTTGCCTTAAGTGACTTTAGCTTGCCCCAAACAGGCTAAAGAAAGTGTGATTTCAAAATTAAAAGCCTAAACAGCAACCTTATTGTGGCATAGATCTTGAATGCTGTAGAACACAAAATTTTCCATTTAATTTAATTTATAAAGAAATGTGGAGAAGTAACAATAAATGAAGTTGATATAACCGAAGTTTTCCATTGTGGCGTCAGTTCCCCAATCAGCAATAAACTAGCGAATGGCGAAATCTGGAATATGGTTTTAAATCCAGAAAATATCCTGCTGATAGTGATAAAAGTGGCAAAGAAAGTTTTGAGAATGAAAAGATTTTAGTTGACAGTTTAGTAGGAATTTTCGAAACTGCAGTTGCCGAACTTGAACAATGGAACTTTCTAATCATACAAGAACATTATGTCTATCTATAAAATTAAAGAGAAAACTTAAAAAGACTTCCATTGAAAGAAATGTTTCCATTGAAAATAATGTTGAGCTTTTTTTGGTAAATTTTGATTCCTTTAAAGTCATAAATACTTTTTTTTTTTTTTTTTTTTTTGTGATTTAAGTCATATTTTAGTTTGTTAATTTCTACATGTCATTTTAATAAATTTAAAAGGATTATCTAAAGTCTGTAAATTTCCAAAATCTGTAATAGCCAAAGTTCTTAAAAGTCCGGATCTGGGACTTGCATATACGTCTGTCTCTTGCATTGTAGGAAAACAGGCACCTAGAGCCATTAAGTTTTGGACACATACAGTGCTCCATCTAAAGATGTGCGCTTCGAAGACTGATTTTTGAATTTCTAATTTGTTTTTTGTTTAATTTATATTTTGTGAAAACTTAATGAAATTTTCATTAAGAAACTCAGTTAAAAGAAATATGTTGCACTGGGCATGAGATAAGATTCACTGTCTTTCAAATTGAATCAACAAACTCAGTAATCTATAATAATAAAAGCAAGTGTAATGTGTCTGTCTGTCTGTCTGACCGAGCTCTCCAGCCAAATCTATCGCACGCAGGGACCTGGAATTTTTTATACGGAAGCACAAAGGGGCTGGCCACCAGACCTCGAAGCCCGATTTTCGATTTTTGAATTAGAAAAATTTTAAAAAAATTATTTATAATTAATTAATCACGGTTTTTTTTTTGACTCACTGATATTATTATTTGTTTTCAAATAACGTTCGATTGTAACAATTGATTTCTTTATTCTAGCGTTAGTTTGCTGTTTTGACGATACATTAAATCGATTAATTACAATTCATTTCTTTTTTTGTAGCTTGTGGGGGGGGAGAGAGAGACAGTCTACATGTCCTACACTACTATTCCTGCGCTATTCACTTATCTGCATTTTCTAAATGCACGGGCAACGCCGGGCGGGTACACCTAGTTTAAAATAAATACATTGCCACTCTCTTGGGGGGGGAAAAAAATTATCTTCCATATTCCATTTAGCAAAACATAAGATGTTTAATTTTTTTCAAATTTAATCTATCTGTTATTCATCAGCAAACTAAGCTATTTAAGAGCAATAAACAAGCTCTTTTCACTATTAATTATTTGCTACTTTCATGAAGTGTAACTTAAAATCAATATATATTTTCTTCATTTTTATAATAACTATGTTAGATGGTTGGCTGTACAAATGACTAGTTAAAAATAAAAATAAAATTCATTTCAGAAACAAAATTTTATATTGTTATATAAAATATGTATTTCAAGTAAGGAAGATATTTAAAAAAAAATTTGAAAAGGCATACATTTTTCCACTGCAGTGTAAATTGTTCTTTAAGCTTTTAATAACTTCATGTATCTTTGATGTCACATATCCCTACATCAGTAACATTCATGACTATTTGAATTAACCATCCAAACTTTAAGCAGTATCTGATAGCTGTTATGCCTGCTATAATGATTTACAGTTTCTATTTCTCAAACCAGAATATTTTTATTCAAGATTCATTTCAGCGTAATAAATGATGGTTATTTTTTGGCATCAGAAGTGATTTTAGTGGAGTCTTCTAAAAAATTTTGACAGTTGTGTTATAATACATTTCACTATCACTGCATTTATCATCCATTTGCTCTGGCAGTTGTTAAATGATTTCATTATTTTCTATAAAAGTGTTCTGTTTCTGTAGTTTGTTAAACTGGTGTAGATATTAAATTTATTGAATGGGATAAATGAAGACGCATAATTGACTTAATTATAGATGTATATTTATCAATAAAATTTCCCCTTCCCTCACAGCATTTCTTGGAGCTTTATATGTTGACAAAGACCTGGGATATTGCAGAAAATTTTGTGAAGTTTGTTTCTTTCCTAGATTACAGGTATTTATTAAAAATTTTTAGCTTCTTTGTTTATGTCAGTGTTGTGAATGTTGCATCATATTCGGCAAAGTGTTGTAATACTGATAATATTGCATCAAATGCTAATATAAGAGTACCTTGCATAATGAACTAAATCTATTCTGTATTGGCATTTGTCATCCAGAATACTGTTTCCCATGATTTACTGTAAGAATAATTTTACTACTCTGTTTATCTATTTCTGATCCTCATCCAAAACTGCAAAAGCATTGTAAAAAATGCAGTACTTTTTAGATGTAAAAAAGTATTTATGTTTGTTATTTTACTTATATAATCTCTCAGTTTAGTATCAGGTTTCCATTAGAACTGAAAATTTAGCTCCCTATGTTCTTCTGCCATGTACACAAGCCCATTTCTCTTAGAGAAGTCTTCATGAAGACATTTTTTCTATGAAGCCAATAGCTCTAATCAATCCAATTCTTGCTATTCTTCCAACTCTCCTTTTCAATTATTGGGAGAGATCAATGTTTCAAGAAATTATCTAAAGTGTTGGCTTTTTCCTCATCTTCTACATGGTCATTACAAGAAAGCATCGTCATTGAACAGATCTGCCTCTTTTGTCACCTCTGCATGATTAAAATATCGCTGCTTGACTGTGGCTTTAAACCTCTTCCCATTCTTTAAAAATAAAACTGATGGTTGCAGTAGTCTTGGACATTTTATGTGTTCCATTTTCTCCATCAGAAATTTCTATCTGGGCTTTGTTTTGTTTTTGTTTAAGGAGAGTTTGCAGTTCTTTAGTGGTAACATTATATTAAGAAACATGCATATTCTGTGTACTGTCTTTTTATATATATAGATGCATTTTTCATATTTAGAAAAAAAAATTCTCAAGATCTTCATTTTGTCAAGAAAAATGTCCAAACATGGCTCATTTTCTCTATATGACTTGAACTGGTACGTATGTACTATCCTATCGTATATATTGTTACGTAGTACTTTATAGTATGAAACTGTTGCCAAGCAGTATGATTTAGTGCCAATCATTTGGATAAGCAGGATAACACAACACATTCATGATATCTGTGCTTTTGTTTGATGTAACCCCGATTGATTCTTGATAAGTTGCCTTTTGTTAATAACACACAGGAAGTTTCTACTCATAACATTCCAAATTTTTTGGTAAAATCAAATGCCCTAACAAAATAAGAAAAATGAATGAAAGCCTTGTACAAAGCGTAAAAGTGAAGCAGGTGGAATACTTCCACAGAAACTGCTGTTTTGTGGATTGTGCAGAGAAACTGATAATTGTTTTATTGTAAGAGTTGCAGATAGAAGTGCAGCTGTGCATGAATTGTTGGTGCAGATTTGGCAGGATCTTTGCCAGTTTTCACAGGGCAGTACGTAAGTATCCTTGATTTTAACAATAAGCAGATTTTTGAAATCCCGTTGAAAATTTTGCTTCATTAAAAGCCGGAACTTTGAGGCTGAAGTGGGCCAATTTTGTTAAGAAAAGAGATAGATAACTGTTAGACAGTGTAATCTAATTTAAAAACAGTGTTAAATTTTTGACAAGGTAAAACAAGTGTTAAATTTTTGACAAGAATAGAATATCCAAACTATACTGCCATAATATTTTAGGAATATTTGGCAAATGATTAAAATAATTTTTAGATTGACTATTCCCTTTTTAGGTAGCTTTTTTTTATGAAATTGTATGGAATTGTGTTATCTTTATGTATTTTAATTAATAAACTAAGCACTTTTGTAAAATCATTGCTGTTATTACAAACATTTTTTATTCATTTTGCTTGATTAATTATAGTATTAGCAATAATTTTTCTGGAGATACTAAATTTCCAATTAATTAGTTTAATTGCATTGAAATTAAAGTCTTCTTTTAACAAATAAAGTAATATTGTTGAGATTATAAAGTTTGTAGGTCAAGATAATCTACTTTGGTGTCATCTTTGTTAGTTTGATTAAGGTTAAGTCGCATCTTGTGTTTTAAAGGAAAATATAGACCCCCAAAAGATCTTTTGCAAAGTCTTTAAATATCTCTGTAGAAACTGTGAACAAAATTCTAAAATCTGTTTTAAAACTAATCAAACAAAAAAAAATTTAATGTTCATCGCCTAAAGCAATATTGAAGAAGCTGAGACATGTTTATCAGATCATTTTATCATGTGCAGATTGCTGTATGAAAATTATTTGGCAGGTGAAAAATAGAAATATATAGTTACAATTGAGGAGGCTTTGATATACTTATCTGATTGCAAAAGAAAAATCCCCCCCCCCCCCCCCCCCCCCCCCCCCCCCCCCCCCCCCCCCCCCCCCCCATCAGTTTTACTACTTAAAAAAGGGCAAAAAAAGACTTAATATGTTGGTTCAGAGAAAACAAGGAAAGTTTTTCTAAAGGTTTTATGGTTATTACTGGGTTCTCTTTTAACGGAAAACTTAAAATAAGAAAACTAGAAAAAAAAAAAGAAAAAAAAAAAAAATCAAAATTAATTCAGGTTTCTATCAGAAATATGTTTTAACACCTATTTTTAAAGAAGAAATTCCATCTCTTTACCCAAACAATCTTCACTGTGTTAAGTTCCATCAGGATAAACCATTTTGAAAAAAAGATAAATAAAACCAGAATTGAATCTATGTATGTGAGCATAGCTGTGGAAACAAATGTTAGTATGTTATGCAGTTAGTCAAACAATTATTTTTTATATTTAAGATAATCCTGGTGCACTTTATGAACATCAGATAAATAATCAAGTCATTAATTAATAATGCAATTATTAAGTTATTATAATTTTATCCTTTGCTCCATAAATTTAAAAATATATGATGTTTGCTGCATATAAAAGATCTTATCCAAAATGACATTTCAGAATTTAAGCTCCTAAAAATTCAATAACATACTTGCAACCTTATTTATCTACAAGCAAAAAGGTGAAAGAATTCACCAGTGTATGACAGAATAACTCTATCGTTAATTTTTTAATTTTCTTCATTAGCTAGCCTGATGATTGGTGGTTAGTAGTGCTAGTTGTCATCACATTAGCCCCAAGCTCAAAACCCAAAGAAGACATGCATGTTGTTAGCCTATAATGTCTTTGTGGCATGAGAGCATTTAATCCCTTATTTGCCACACAGTTTTACAAAATTTGTTCAAAAATCTTCGATTTTTTTAATAGATGTTTATAAATCGCCAGCTTAGCAATATCTTGCCAATTTAGCGAGGTAACCATTTACTCAATGTAAAATAGACTTGCCCCTGTATTCTTACTTTTCCTGCACAGCTCTGGTTCTTTAGATTTTATGTTACATCATACACACACACACACACACACACAAACACACACACACAAAAAAAAAGAAAAAAAAAGTATAATTTTACTTAAATTATCTACTATGTACAAAATGCGTAATAGTTTAGTATTTTTCAATTATTTCATCAATTAAATCTGACCTAAACTTTAAGTGTGATATTTTTTTCCTATCTTCTCATTATAAACTTGAAAAGCATGGAAAATAGCTTGCTCTAAAAAGTGAAAGAATATGTTTAACAATAGTTTTCCCTCAGTTTCTTGCTCCTTGGTAACTAGAAAGGTACTGCTGATCTGCACAGTAGCATAGCTGGAGGGAGCAAGGAGGGACAACAGTCCCTGAGTGTGGCAACCAGAGGCTGCCGAACTGATGTTATGATATTTTAGATAGAAATGTCCATCATGAAATTTTGCATTCTTGGCAAAAAGGAAGAGGTGCAAAACCATCAGTTGTCCCCGGGCGTTGAAAACCCTAGCTATAGCTCTGGATCTACAAGATCCATGCTCCTATTGTTTTGTTTTAGTGAATTATGACCTTTGGTTTTATTCCAACAGTTTTAGTGTCATAAAATGATGATAGCATTGTTGTTTCCATTTTTGTCCTTCCATTTCAGAGCAAAGATTTTTCCACGTCTAAAACGTCACCAGATTTTAGCTTTATTTTTCAATGCTGAAGGTAATTCCCCCCCCCTGCCCACCAACAATCTGGTCATAGAGAGATAAAGTATTGTAGAGTTTTGGGTTAAAATGATTTTCTGGATCATGAGAATCATTGTTCTACAGTATCGGTTATATAAGTTTCCATTCTCTTCTACACCTGAAATAAACATACCTTCTAAACCACTTCCTGATTCTTCAAAAATTAAATCCCTTTGTTCATTTCAGCAACTATTTTTACAAATATTAAATGTGAAAACATGATAAGCATTGAAATTGAATCTTTTCAAAAAATTATTCTTACAGGAAAAATATTCTAAATCTACATACTACTGCTGTATAATCAAATTGCAAGTACTGTGTTGCCATCTGCGAAACAACTGTGTAAATAAAATTGATATGGACACAATAGAAATTGGAATTCCCATGGCTTTTTATTTCACAAGCATAGGCCGTATGTGATTACAGGTGTGACAAAATTTATTCGAATTGGCTACCTGTATGAGAGACGGGTATGATGACTAAGGGGTTAAAATACCAGCAAACCAGAAGTTCTCTTAAAAGCCAGATTTAAAGATGAGCGGGCCAGTGTAAAATTTAAATTTTGGCAAAAAAGTAACCATAGCTCTTGAATTAGAGGGATCTGTGTCTGATCATCGTTGAAGGCAATAGAGTTTTATTCAGAATCTACCTGATCTGGATTTTTATTTTATGAATGAATATGGATTATTTTTATCATTCCTCTTTTTTCAATTCCTTTCGAATCACACACAGACCTTTTCCAAAAAAATATTCGGTTAAATATTGTTGTATATTTTCAAGTTAATGTTTAATTATTTATACGTTTTGCAGGACTTTATCATGAACCAAGACTGGAATGATCCAAAATCCAAATTGCAGCAGTGCTGCTTAACCTTGCGTTCCATGGATGGTGGAGAACCAGACATACCTACTTACAAGTAAGTGTTACTGTTGTTAAGTAGTTAATTTACAAATTTCTAAAAATATTACATCGAGAACTGCTAAGATATAAAGGAAAAAGCAGCACATTAGAATTTTAAACAACTGGACTAAGGACCACAGGATAATTGGGTTATCTTTTTTCTGTAAGCTACATAGCACATTTTATTTTTTTATTTATAATGCAGGTCATTGCAAAAGATGCACCTAGTTTTAAGGTTTCATTAGAAAAAGTATTTGAGGCTATATATAACTTTTTATTGAAAAATAAACATGAATTATTTCTTTTTCTTTTCATATATAGTTAATAAATTTCAAGATGAGTTCCATTCATTAATAATAAGTAAGTATCAAAGTAGTATTCCCTTCATGTATGTTAGATCATATCTGGTGTATTGCAGAAATGGCTGTGATGATTCTTTCTCAAAGGTAGATTAGGTCACAGATTTTTCCCTGAATGTACATTTTTATCAAATATCTCCCAGTAGCCAACCTATTGGCCTTATTAATTATTGCTAAATCTTCATTTTTCTGCAGCTTTGAAGATGTCTGCAAAGCCTCAAGAGTGAAAATAGCGATGTATATCTTCTTTAAATATAAATTTAATTTTTCGGTTGCTTAAGGTATTCCATCAAAACATTTAATATTCAGAACTAAATTGTTATACATACCTGTGTATAAAAAGCAAAATTTGATCTGATTTAATCCATCAGATTATTTGCTAAATATTTTAAAGATGGCTATGAGTCTTTTTTACTTGTGATCATCACCTTAGTTATGGTGGTACTATTCTGTTATTGGGACTGGATTCAGCAATGTATGAATGTATGCGTATGTGTATGTATGTGTGTATACGTGTATATGTATATACATGCATACATGAACACATACATTTATGGATATGGTCCTGATAACAGAACAGTACCGTTATTTTTAAGATTGGAAAAATATACTGGTAATAAATAATAATGGTAAAAAGTAATGGTGGACAATTGCTAAGGATGGATCACAAACGGAACTTAAGTTTGGTTGGATGCCAAGTGAAATAAAATAATGTCAGAATACTAGAACATAACAATAAAGATAATAATGTGCTCTGAAATCCATAAGGCTTTGAAAAGGGAAAAAATGGTCATTTTGTGCTAAATGTGTAAAAATAAAAAAAAAAAAAAATAAAAAAATTGCAATTACCGTCCACAGGCATTCCAGTGTAAGATGTCAAAACAGAATAGGGCCACCATAGAGGACGATTCCACACATCATGTCATGCTTTGCACTTTGCACAATATTATCCAGCAGCTGTTGGGGCAATTTATCCCATTCGTATGTTAGTGAACAGATGAGGGTGTCCATGTTTATTGGAGGATATTGTCAACCAGCAAGATTTCTTCCCAGAGCATGCCAAACAGTTTCAATGGGAAGACACTTCTGGACAACAACTGTTCGATGACATGTTACGTTGTCATCCATGAAAACAAATTTATCACCGACAGCACCACAGAACGTGAGGTAGCAGAACATCATTAATGCATAATTGGCTAGTCCCAGTTTCAAGCATATAGAGTGATGTACGGCCATTGATCATGATCCCAGTCCATACCATGGCATCACATGCAGGATATCAGCCTCTTTCCTGTATGTCTGCAAGACTATGTGCAGTACCACTCTCACGCCATATCAGTTGTACACAATCAGACCAGAGACTGAACCTACATTCATTTGAGTATAGTACACAAGCCCAGTCATCTTCCCTCCAAGTGCAGTGCTGACGACACCATTGCAAATGCACAAAACCATGAGGTCTAGACAATGGAATGCATACAGTAGGACTACAGGTGTATAGTCCTCCTGGATGCAAATGTTTAGCCACAGTTTTTTCAAATTTGCTTGCCAGTAACTGATTTGCTACCGCAGTAGCTGTGCTGTGCTGGTTCCTTTTTGTCAATAGTACCATGTACCTATCTTTTGCAAGTATTGTACTGCTAACATGAACTCCATAGTGTTTACTATACATTCCATTTGTTTGAAATGATTTCCAAAGCCTTGAAATAACACTGTGGCTTACATTAAATTTTCTAGCAACATCTGTTGTCAACCTTGCCAATAATTCGGCCATGCGTAAAATCATCCCCATGATGTTGAGAAGACATACTGAAAATCGCAAGTTTGTCAGTTGATTCTTTCCCTTTAAATTTTGCTTTTGAACAACAACAGTCAGTACACATCAAATTCTGTACATCTCTTATCAACACTATTACATAAGAAACAACATCTGCAATCCAAAATTTGCATATGCACTACACGTCTTACTGTATCACACATTTATGCTAATTTCCACATTTTCCTGCCTTCCATTTTGTGGTTGCTATCAGTGCTACTGCCATCTGCCCTTAGCAATTATCCACTACTGCAGTATTACATACTTTTTTGATGTTTCAGAAAAACTTGTTGGAAATGAAAACCTGAGTATGCTTTTCTTACGTAGGTAGAGATTTCCGATGTGCTACCTACAGTTTGTTATTTGTTTGAAAATAATTTATGTTGTAATTGAACAATATCCTGCATTGCATATCCTCATATTAGGTAGGTATAAGTGACTATGGGACAAGTGCTGTCTTAATACATGAGTAAATTATTTCGAGAGAAGGAAGAGAATTTTTAACTATTAAGGAATCATATATAGTTTTATGTATTTGAAACTTATTATTAGATTATTTGTTAAATGTAAATCTATGATCAAGAATAATATAAAGATATTTGACTCATTTGGCATATCAGACAACTGAACTGTCCACTAGAATATGAATATTTAGTCCAACAGAATTTCTTTGAAGGGGTATAATAAACATTGACCAAATCAAAGTATGGAATTCATCTAAATACTATAGGCATCATTCTAAATACTTTTTTTAACTGCAGAAGTGTATTTCTTTCATTTAATAACTCTTTCGTCGAGTTTAAGAACTTATTTAATCTAGTTATTGAAAATAGGAAAAATTAAAGGTTGAATTTCAGTGGAACCCTTGCGTTGCAAATATGAAAAAGCAAAAACAGAATAGTAACATTTTTGATATTTTATAATCGTGCATTCACAATTAAAACAATAATTCATATTAAAAGGGAACCTAAATACTAACTAAGTATTCTTCATTCTGTAAAAAAATACATATTGATTTATTTACACTTTTAATTTAATCAATAGACAAATCTGCTTCTGTATTCAAGAGTAATGCATCCAGAAACTTGCTGCAGTTGCATAAAACTGAAGAATTATATCAAGCACTATGCAATGTTATATTCCTATAACATACATAAATGTAGTAAAATATATGTCATGATATTCCTATAACATACATAAATGTAGTAAAATGCAGCACATTTCTAACAAACGTATTGTACATTGCATTGTATATTTACAGTATACTTTTCTATAGCTTGTATGCAGTAAAAGATTGAAAATCTGCAAAGCGTGGGACTTAGCACAACCTTAGTTATGCATGGGTTTAAAAATAATAATAAAAAAAAGGGGGGGAAGACAACTTAAACAAAATAAATAAATTGAAAAAAGCATTCAAAGCAGTTAATTTCTTTTTCTCTAGAAAAATATAAATACATTTTATTTTTCTAGCTAAAAATTCTCTTCCTTCTCTCGAAATAATTTGCTCATGTATTAAGACAGCACTTGTCCCTTAGTCACTTATACCTACCTAATATGAGGATATGCAATGCAGGATATTGTTCAATTACAACATAAATTATTTTCAAACAAATAACAAACTGTAGGTAGCACATCAGAAATCTCTACCTACGTAAGAAAAGCATACTCAGGTTTTCATTTCCAACAAGTTTTTCTGAAACATCAAAAAAGTATGTAATACTGCAGTAGTGGATAATTGCTAAGGGCAGATGGCAGTAGCACTGATAGCAACCACAAAATGGAAGGCAGGAAAATGTGGAAATTAGCATAAATGTGTGAAACAGTAAGACGTGTGGTGCATATGCAAATTTCATATTAAAAAGTATAAAAAAAGTTTTTTACAAACTATTTATAATAATTTATTTTAAAATTATAAGGTATTTTAATCTGAATCCCTCGCTCCAAATTATATAGAACCATTTCATTCTGATCATTTATACATTTTTTTCTTTTATTCTTTTTTTTCACCAGTATTTGCAAGAAAATTGTGACTTTATTTAGAACTTGGAATTCTGACAGTTTTAGTAATATAATAAACTTTCAGAATTCTCTAATAACAGGGCAGATCCCTATCCTATTATAAAATCCATCTTTATTCCTTTATGAATGGTCTTTCATGTTTGCCGCAGTTCATGATGTCTTTGGCTTGTATGTGCACAGTCTGATCAAAATTCCAATTACTGCAGTCTCCTTTTGATTATGCATACAATTACTCTCCAGTAACTACATTAGTATACTAATATAGAAATTTACTTCAATACTGAATAACAAAAGTTATTATTCATAATACCCAGATCTTGCCCAAAAATATCAAAGCCATCTGCATGTTGCTATTAATGTCTGAGAAGCTGATGAATCTCAGGTATGAAAAATAGGATTCTGATCCATCCGGAAACTATAGAATATGGTGTTTTTGTGTAGTACCATATACAGTTTAAAAAAATAATAAAAAAACCAGGCTTTCTTTCAACAGAATATAGTGTTTTTGTATAGTACCATATACAGTTTTAAAAGATAATAAAAACCAGGCTTTCTTTCAAAGTCCCTTGTAAACAATGAAACATCAGTCCAAATTATACTGCATGTTTATGCTCATGGTTAGGACTGTCATATAAAGATGTTAATGGATATTTTGGGGCAGCTGACCTTCATATGATATAACCCATTCTCACCTGGTAGGTATTTTGTAATCTCTAAATGACATATTTAATTAACCACTGCACTCTGTAAACAATTAAAAAAGCAGAAATAGTGTTATTTTCATCAATCATATTTTGGACACTTTCATTATTGAAAATTCTTGGTATATATTTTTGGAAATTTTCAGCATATGGGGATAATTGTGATTATTATTTTGAATTAAAAGTGTATGCTGAATTCACTAAATTAAATACTGAAATTATTTATTTCGAGTATTTCTAGAGTTTGAAATTAATTGTATTAAATTCTGTTTAAATGCATGATTTCTTTACAGGGTTATTGAATGTAAAGGACCAACAAACACTCGTGTTTATTCTGTAGCTGTATATTTTCAAGGTAACCGATTAGCAGTGGGATCGGGTCACAGGTAAATAAAATTGATCTATTTCGCTTGTTAATATTCATGCAACTGTTATTTAAACAAAAATAAATAAATAAATAAATGTATGAATATTTGTATTGTTATATATGATATTATGAATATTTGTATTGTTATATATAATGAATATTTGTTATTTCAACAGCATTCAACAAGCTGAAATGGATGCTGCATCTAACGCATTGAAAATATCAAAGGGTTTGAATACTTTATTATTATTATTTTGTTAATTTAAATTTTGGTTAATTCTAAGATTATGGTATACCATTTGCACATTTTTTTAAACTTAGTCAAAAGATGTTGCCAATTCAGATATCACAATACACTTTAAAATAATTCAGAACATGTCTTCACAACCACAGAATATTAATCATTAAAAGATTTTCAGTTATAAACTACCCATACATTAACTGAAAATTACACTACATCAATACCTCAATTTTATTTTTTTTTTTTTTTTTATAAACAACTTAAGTTTTCATCAGTACAAAAAAAAGGGGGGGGAGAAAAAAAAAAACTTTTTTATAGAAACAAATTTTCATGACTAAGATACTCTGCAGCTAACTTCAGAATAACAAGAAACATGGACTAAAATGAATATAATGTATTAGAATGATTTTATAGAATTCATTACGGTATGTGAATAATTTTACTTCAAATTATTAAATGGTGAGAAATTTTAAAAGCATTTAAAAAAGAAATAAGTGCAAAACCGCTTACATATTCAAGAATATGCCTCTTTTAATTAACTTTATGTCATATGAATTCATTTTTTAAAGCAAAAATTCAAATTAACTCTCAATTTATTATTTTCAGGAATTCCACAAAAAGATCTGTTTTTATAGATTTCCTGAAAAATAATAAAATGTTTCTTTGGACAACTGTAAAGTAAAGTGTTATTGCTTCAGCAATTGAAGAACTAACATTAAATATGATTTCAGAAAAAACTTCAAGTTAAAATTCAAAAAAATTAAAATTTGCATAAAATGTTTCTTTGGACAACTTTAAAATAGAGTATTATTGCTTCAGCAATTAAAGAACTAACATTAAATAAGATTTTACTCAATTCATCAAGTTAAAATTCAAAAAAATTAAAATGCAAATTAAAATTTATGCTACTTTTTTTTCCCGCCCTTCTGAAATGATAATTATTTGACAAGTTACCGATTTAATGACGGTATTTAAAAGCAAACCAAATTTTGTATTACATTTGGTATGTTATGTTACAAATCAATATGCTTTGCTTACTAATAAAATTTGTAGGTCTGTTTCCACAACTAAGGCACCAACGGCGAGCAATTGAGAGAAGCTTAAAGCAAGGTCCTCCTGCCAAACAAAGAAATTCTCCACCACCTCCTTAACATTTTACAAACGTGTATTATAATTTTACAATTGAAAATACTGTTTTGTGTATATATTCATTTTGTAAATAAATATCACCAAATATTAAGTCTACTTGCATTTATTAAATTATAAATGAAATTTCATATTTTCATATCAAAGAAGTAACCGCATAAGCTTTTGGCAGTAAAGTCATATGACCACTTTAACAAAGAAGCAATTGAAGCTTCTTTGTTAAAGTGCATAATTCTTTAATCTTGAAGTTTTTGTTTATAAAATGGAAAAATATATATTTCCACAACAGTTCAAAATTCAATAGCCATAGCTGAAAAATTCAGTTACTATATAACTGGAATATAACTTTGACAACATTTGAAATTTGCTTGTTACATATTGGGTTTACCAGTTTTACATTCAGAACTAAATGTAGTGGTTTGGTAGAATTATATGCATTGTGTATTATTTACCACAGCTTCTGCTGCTAGAAATTCGAGAGTTAGTCTGTGATACTAACAAATAATTCATAGATTTAAAGTGAAATTTTTACACTAAACCATCGATTTTATGAAAACAATATTGATACTGTTTTTAAAAAACTCTAAAAAAAATGTATTTCCAGATCATAACTAGAGGGATAATTTTTTGGGTTTGGGGCAATACTATTTTTTCCCTAAGAAATAAAATCGTAAAATTCCAGACTTAGATAGTTCCACATGGTTGCAGGGAAATGCATGAAATCTTAGCATATTATAATTAAATAACATACTAAAATAGTCTGGTAATGAGGGCACCATGAAGTGATGCTGGAATTCAGATACCACTGAAATTGCAACAATTGCATTTTTTTCTAATGAATGCTTACGTTAGACATCAGTAACACTAATCTTTCCCAAAATAAAACATTTAATAGTTTTTTTGGTTAAGATTTGAATGATGAGAAAAGCATGTAGAATCTGCATTTCTAAATCCCCAAGATATGATTGTCCTAGCTCAGGGGTCGGCAACCTATTGAAATGGAAGAGCCAAAGTTTACAATTTACAAAATTTCCCAGTTTTTAAAGAGCCACTAAAATTTTCATTTCAATATTATAGTATATATTATTTCATTTAAATAAATATTATTTGAGGAACTTGGAACTTGAGCGCTACAACTTTACATCAAAAGAGTCGCATGCAGCTCGCAAGCCGCAGGTTGCCAATCCCTGTCCTAGCTCTATTATGAATAGTTAAAAAAATTCAGACAAAAAAAAAGATACCTTGAAGAAATTATACTTAATACAGTCTACACGTATTCAGGAGGAAAGCTAAAGCTTTTTTATACTAAATTTTGCACATGACATTCTGAAAAGTTACTATTTTATAATTTAATTTACAAAGTGTTGAAAAAAAATGAAATCTCATTGAAAATGAATTAAATCAACTGCTGAATTCCTCAAGCATGAAAACATTTTTTATGTGTACCAAATAATTTTGCTGAAGGTATTATAATTCTTTGAAGATTAATAAATATCAGGAATACCTGATTCAAAGTATATTGAACACATGACTCATTCTTTCCCTCAACTAGAAACAACAGAATATCAACCTCAACAGTCAAAAGAAATTCAAACACTGGAACAAGAAAACATTTAAATATTATATGCTTTTGTCAGTTGGGGGGGGGGAAAGAGTAAATTTTTGTTGAATCAAATTAAAAAAACATTTTTGAAAGAATTTAAAAACTTGTAATTTCTTTTTTTTTTAATGCAAAATAGTATAAACACAAAAGTAAAAGTATCAAATTATAAATATGTATATAATTGCCTCACTCCATGTACAAACTTTGAAGGGAAATGGAGAATCACTGTTGGTTATCCAGTATTCTGCATCCTAACCCTGAAGAATCCATCCTCACACAAGTTCTGATGCAAACATTTGGTGTTGTGATACATCTGTTAGGGTGCCTCTCCCAATACACTCTAGTCTCTTACCATCTGCTGACCCACATATGAAGTACATGTCTGGTAACTGAGCATTTGTAAAACAATGTACAACACTGCAATCTTTAATCAGAATGCCCGAAATGCTGATCTGTAGTGCTTGCAATATGATGTCACCCACTCACTTCTGGACCTGCTTTCCTATGTGAATGTAGTTTGTTTAAATGTTTTTTTTTTTTTTTTTAATCTCCTCTCAAAGTTTGTACATGGAGATTTGAGACACCTGTATATCAAGGGTTTTGATCAATGTTTATGCAAATTTGAGGAAATAAGGATACCAATTAAGAATAAAGAAATAAATTCTTCATAATAATGCACTTTAGAGGTGATTTGATGTGATAAGCAATATAATTAGAAAGTCCCCAATTGATAGAATTTCAGTTTCAGTGGGGGTTATGCAATTACAAATTGGTAATATTTAATAATAGCCCTGTGAGAATGAAAAGTTAACATAAATATAAAAATACAGCAACCATAGAAACAGGTTTTACTGTTAAAAGGAGTCAAATCATAGAAATAGCAATATTTCTTTGATAGAATGTAAGAAGCATAAATATTATAAATTTTAAAAAAGTCTTTGTGAAATGTTTCCATTACTTTTTAATTGTTGGATATGTTTTCATATTATCTGCTTCAAGACGGATGCCTTCATGAAGGACTTTATGAGAGAAAATTAACTCATATTCATGTTACATATTGGAAAAACTACACTATCAATCCATTAGTTTGAACGAACAACCAATGTTTAGAAATCTTACCCATTCACAGACTTGGGAATTGTAAATAACAGATTTTCTACCAAATAACTTATGGCAATGGATTTTGTGGATACTGATTGGTACTTTCCCTTTCTTAATAAAAATTCAATAAAAGTACTATGCTTGATAATGTTGCGTTTCCAAACATATCAACTGCAACATAATGCATCAACAAAAATTAATGAGTGCAATCAACTGCATGATAGGAACACCAGCTGAGGCAATTGGTGCAACATCTATGTAATGCTTCAATCTATTGGGTTGGAGGGAAAGTTCTGTCGTATTTTAAAGAAAATATTTGAATTCATTTATAAAAATATGTCTTTAATATTAATCAATTATATATGCTCCGTTATTTGTTACAACCTGTTGCCATCTTCCAGGTAACCTGTAAATTCCTGTTTTGTAGAAGTTCTCATCCATGGAGTTAAATAGTCAGCAACTGCCTTAGAAACACTTTCAAAAGACTTGAATTTTTTTTCCCGTTAGATAATTTTGCAGAGATCTGAACAGGTAATAATCATAGGGTGCAATGTCAGGTGAATACGGGGGGTGACTAAGGATTTCCCATCCTAACGCATTCAGTTTTTGTAGTGTCACCACTGCAGTATGCGGGCTAGCATTATCGTGATGGACGCTAATGCTGGCCTTTTTTCTTTGATAGCTGCATTCAATTTATCCAGCTGATTGCAGTACAGATCCGCGTTGATGTTTTTTCCCTGTTTCAGCAACTCGTAATACACTGGACCTTTTTCTGTCCCACCACAAACAAAGCAGTACTTTTCGTTGATGGATACTTGGTTTTGGAACTGTTGCTGATGATGTTCCTGGTTTGCAGTAAGATTTTTTTCTTTTAATATTCTCATAAAGAATCCACTTTTCATCTCCAGTAACCAGCCTGTCCAAAAATGGCTCCACATTGTGTCTAATCAGATGTGATGAACATATTCTTACACGATCAGACAAATTCTTTTCCGTTAATTCATGTGGAACCCAAACACTTTGCTTTAACACAAACCCAAGAGATTTAATGTGATCTCCAACAGTTGTATGATGAATGCCAAACTCTTCTGCAATTTCTTGACTTGTTAAATGTGGATTATTTTCCAACATGGATCGCAAAACATCATTATCGACCTTGGATGGTCGTCCAGATCGAACACTTTCTTTGAGGCTCAGGTCTCCGGAACGAAATTTGCTAAACCATCTTTGACAAGTACGAACATTTACAATATCTTTTCCAAATACTGCACATAAATTTTTACATGTAACAGATGCGTTAGTTGCATTATTGCATGATACCTACCTTTTACAAAAATTTCTATGTTTAAATTATAGTAACAAATCCCCAAATGATTTAAAGCATGAGTATCTGTTGACAGCCATTTGCCAGGATTCAAATCCCACTCGAAACTTAAGTAATTTTACTGTAGTAAGCCTTTATACAAAAAGGAAAAACGTGGGGTAACAACATTGATGTTACAACATATAAAGGAGTTATTCTTTAATGCCTTTTATATTTTAGTTTCTTCATTTCTAATGATGCTTTATTGGCCCATTATTTACACCTTTTTAATACTTATTTAGTTTACTTAAACAAACGAACTTCTTGAGGATGCAAGTAAATTAATTTTTAATATCTTTCCATTTAACTATACATGGGTTTTTTCTTTTACCTATTTTTTGTTTTTAAAGCTGTTCTCGAATTAACTATGAATTTAAATTACCTATGAATATTATGCCTGCAAACTGACAATTTTATTTCTCTTCAGTGGTACTAAAATATGCATGTTCATGCAATGAAAGATGTTGCAAAATAAACAATAGTTCCTGAACTAAAAATAAATACACTGATAAAGCTCTAAAACAAGCTATTCCTCTATAAATCCATGTTAAGACCAATAACATATGCTTGTCCTGTCTGGGGCTTTGCAATAATATTCATACAAAAAAAAATTTTAATTTTGCAAAACACCACTTTGAGACAAATCACCTGATGCAGGTGGTTCATAATGAGCTCTGCAATTCATGATGAATTTAAAATTCTATAAATTAAAAAAAAAAAAAAATATGGCAAAAATAGCCAAAAGATTTTTCAAAATAATTTACAAAACAGGAAACGACAGTATCCTGGAATTAGAATATGACTAATTTATTCAACTATACCAGAAGACCTGGTGCAATACTTAGAGCATTGACGAAATTTTCTCATGTTATAGCTTGTTTGAATTGTATGCATTTATAATATTAATTTTAACCTAAAGAATTGCTTTGTTGCCTTTTTAATTAATTGATAATCAAGTTTAAAATACTGTTAATCACTGACGTTATTACTAAAATTAACTACAAAAATTCACATATTACTACATTAACCGCTACAATTGCTTTCACTTTCTTTGAATTCTTCACTGATCAAATGTTATGCTCACAAAAGATATGCCTAAAATTTATTTCAGGATAGGGTACAACCCAGGAGCTTGAAAATGATGTGACTTCGTCACCTCCTAATAAAGCTCAAAATATCTCTATATCTGCTTTTGATTGCATTTGTTATTTTTTGTTATATGCATATAAATGAAGTTTCTGAAGAGAAATAATGGCAAAAAAAGATACAGTCATAACATCAAAGTGGAAATTAAAATCAATTTTTTACATATATAATAAAAATACTGTGAATTTAAAGTATTTAAAAGATAATATTAAAAAGGCTTAAATATGTGTCTATAAAAGAATATAACCACATAGGTTTTCTTGCATAAAGCAAATGCTTTTATTTTGAAAATCATATATCAACTTTTTTTTTTTACTTTGAGAAATCAGTAATTATGTATGAAAACATATTTACAATTTGTTGATGTTAAACAAAATTTAATAATAAACATTCATTTCTATTTGTTACTTCAATTTTTGAACTATCACAGCATTCAGTAAGTTCTCTTCAGCTAATGTAGCAGCATCATCCACTAGTTCTTTTGTAGGATATGAGGTCATCAATGAGAATAACGAAGCACTATATTCAGGACGAGCTCTGGTGATTTGTTAAGAAAAATATAACAGCTCAGAGACAATATTAAATATTTGTTTTATAATTATTTTAATGTTGATTTAAAAAACTGAATAAAAATTTCTTTAAATATTGACCAAAAGGTGAAATTTGTGACTTTGGCTTGACAGCATATTGAGTGCTCCTATATCACAACGACACAATACGAAAGCTATCTAAAAAGTATCTGACATTCAGATGGGAAAACTATCTTACTTAAGATGAGACTGAGACCTTAATACTCTTCAAAGTAGAGCTCTTGTGACTCGACATTCTAGTCCACTGATCTTTCCACAGCTGAAAAGACTTCATCTGAAATAGCATTTATCTCTATATCTGCTTTTGATATCACGTTATGCATTATCATCACGTTCTGCATTATTTGAGGTCTTGAGCTTCGCACTTGTCGCGCTTGTTTCATCCTTGTGGACTCGGGATGCTTTCACTGCAACAACTGTGCATTTGTTTCCGAGTCGTACCCTTACATCCATGAATCATCTCCAGCTATCACGGCATTCCAAACCCAGGATCAAGGTGCAGTTCTTCCTGTTCCACCGACAGCAGCTTCGGCACAAAGTTTGCACTATCTCTGAGCATGTTCAAATCAGGATGCTACATTGTATGTGCAGAATCTAACATCCTAACCTTTTCGCCAATTTCTCATATGGTCAAACGATAATCTACCAGATTTCCCACCCTCTCAACAATTCAACAATTCACCTTCTCAACAATGCATTCCGAGTGGTATGTGGCCTCCCAGAATGCTGGCCACTCTCCACTGATTCATAGCCTTTTTTGAATCGGTTGAACCACTCGTTAATTTGTGTTACCTCCATTTCACTGTCTCAACACCTGATGGATCTTATGAATTGTTTTGCTTTGAAAATCACCAAGCTTTTAATAAAATCTGATGTAATAACTACTCAACTCATTCAGTTATCTGGAGAGAATTCAAAAATCCAAGGAACACATGTAACAACACCTCACTCAGCAGCAAGCAGGCAGCGATTGATATCTTCGAAAGTCGAGGAATAAATTCAAATATTCATATTGTCACCTTCTATAAGTGCATATTGGCATGGTTCTAGCATCTCTACCTTTGGTGGAGAAATTCAACGTCAGATACTTTTTAGACAGACCTCATATATTTAACACAAGCTCAAAGATAGGCTGTGATCACTGATTAAATCCATACCAATCAACGTGGCAAGTTTTTATAGGTTTGATGGCTAATCTTTCAAAAGTTTTAAGATTAATATAAGTAAATAAAATTACAGAAAGAATTTTTTTCACCATAGGATTATTAAAAAAAAAAACTAGGCATAACACTATATGAAAGATGGTTTTTCTTTTTTCTTACATACAGCAAGCTTCTTTATTCCAGCTGATTTCATTTTTCATTCTCGCTTATGCCGAATTCTTTATATGACAGAATGAATATTTCAATTTGAAAAATCAAATTTTAAAAGATACAGGATGACAATTATTGAACTATATAAAATAAAGCATAAATTATTTAAAAACTACTAAGCACAAACTTTAATCAACATGTAAACGTTACTACAGATATTTGGATTTAGGTTATGACACATTCGATATGCCTGCCATCTTTGGCCACGATGTGGTGCAGGCGAATACCAAAATTCTGCATTACCGGCTGAAGTGTCAGAACATCGAAGCTGTCAATGACTTCCTGAATGGCAGTTTTCAGCTCAGCAATGGATTTGGGGTTATTTCTGTACACATTATCTTTAATATAATGACCCACAAAAATGAGTCACACGTGTTCAGATACGGAGAATATGGTAGCCAAGCGAGTCCCTCTGCGGTACCCCAGAGCCAGAATGCAGTCTCCCAAATGCTAACAATTTCTTGCTCTGATGCGGTCGAGCTCCGTCTTGCATGAACCACATCTTGGCAAATCAGGGCACTTTGGATTATGGGGATGAAACCATTTTCCAAAACCTTCACGTATGTTTCAGTAGTCACTGTGCCATCAACAAATATCGTATCAATTATTGCATGACTGGACACTGTACACCACACAGTCACCCGTTAAAGGTGGAGAGACTCCTTGTTCATGAAATGCAGATTCTCAGTCCCCGAAATGCACCAATTTTTCTTATTGACGAACCCATCCAAATGAAAAGGTACTTCGTCGCTAAACCAAACCATATTCACATCAAATTTCTGTTTGTATATTCTTTCGACAATAGTGTTGGTGAAACACAACCACTGTTCCATGGCCATGAGCCTTAATGGCTGATGAATTTTGTATGGGAAGAGATGCAGGTCTTCAATAGCAATTTGTCGCAGGTTCTCCCGGTTGATTCCCACCTGTTGTGCAGCTCGTCTGATCAATTTCCTCGGGCTGGTTTGAAACACAGCATGTGTTTTCTCGATGTTTTCAACCATTTTCACACTTGTTTGTCGACTGACATTGCCAACACTATCAGTTCTCTCAAACTTGCAAATCAAATTCTTGATTGTTAGCACGGTTGTCTTCAGCTTGTACTCAGTAGCAAACTTCTTTTGAGCCGCAATCGGGCTGTTATTGCTCGCATAATAGGCCTTCACAAGCGTTATACACTCAGGCACACTGTACCGCGACATTTTTACTTGAAAATGGCCGACCATAACAAGTTGCATGTGCATGTGCATACTAGTTCCCATCATGCTTTGTGGCCAACCACAAAGTTTGAACTTCATCACATAAACTGTTCAGAAGTTATGACGGTTTTATTTCATTTAGTTCAATAACTGTCACCCTGTATTTTAATATAGGAGAAAAACCTTACATAAATAACATGTAAATGTAAACTCTCAAACAAAATACACATGCTCACAATAAATTAATTACACATTAATATTTGAAAATGTTGTTAAAGGATACAGTACTAGGAATCTTCTTACATCACCAACAGTATGAGTGTAATTTGCTTTCATTGTCAACCTACATACATAAAAATAAATTCATATTCAAACCTTACACATACTTTACATATATATGAAGGGCATTCAAATGAAAGTGATTCGAGGTAAGTAGCGACAGATACATAGATAGGAAAAGTAATATTTAATAATCGAAATGCATACAATGTTTGTTAAAAAAAAATCACCCACTGCTAGGGAAGGTTACGAATTCCATCCGCAAAGAATGATGTCGGTTGATCATGGAACCAGTTCATAACTGAAGCCTTTACGTCCTCATCGGATTGAAAGCTTTGACCCTTTAGACTTTTCTTTAGTGGTCCAAAGATGTGATAGTCCCAAGGCAACAGATCTGGACTGTAAGCTGCATGTTCCAAGACTTCCCATTTTTTACGGGTCAATGCCTCGACACGCACCCGGAAGACATGCAGCCTTGCATTGTCGTTCAGAAGTATGACACCTGATGACAGCATACCTGAATGTTTGATTCTGATAGCCTTATGCAGCTTATAAAGCGTTCCAGTGTACCACTGGGCATTGATGGAGGCGTGCAGCTCCTTTAACTCCAGTAATAGAGGATCCTGAATGTTGAAAAATGCTGTCAACATCACCTTTCTGGTTGAGTGCTGACTTTTCAATTTTTTGGGCCTAGGTGAGTCGGGATGTTTCCATTGCATGGTGACAGGCTTCCCTTCTGGTTGGAAGTAGTGACACCAGGTTTCATCCCCTGCCACTATGTGCTGCAGAAAGTTGTCACCTTCAGCCATGTAGCGTACCAATGCTGTAAACTGAGACCCGTTCGCTGTTTCTTGTGGTGGTCAGACAGTATGTGGGACACCCATTGGCAACAAACTTTTCGATACTTCAGAATGTTGCTAACAATATTGTGAACAGTACCAATGGAAATGTTCAACTCATTTCTAACATCACAAATGTTTTGATGTCGATCCTTGATTGGCATGTCAATGCCCATACTCAGCTTATCTGCCATAACCTTGTGCACATGAGAGGGCCACAGCAAATCCATTATTTCCTGGTGACATTCGCTAAACATTCTTGCCCACCTCGTCACTGTGGGATTCCCACACACGTGTCTCCGTACACAGCCACCATTCTTCAATGGATATCCACCGACTTACACCCTTCCAGTGTTAAAAACTTAATTATAGCTCGCTAATCCGTTTTTGACGCAGTTGCATCCACACCAGTAATTTTTTAATTAATACCACGTCCTTATGACTGAAGTTAGTACACATCCCCTTCCACACACGCATGCGTTGTACATATGGCTTCATAAAAATTCAGTGCAAACTTTTCGCAAGCAGCACTTCAAATCACTTTCATTTGAACATGCCTTATATTATATTATTACCTTTACTAAACTTTATAATTTTAAAAAAACTATCCAAAACTCTGGGCATATCTACACTGCACAAATATATATGTTGCATCATGTGTTAATGTAGAAAATGTTATGCACATAATCATTATTTTACTTTTAAATAGTTCTGGTAGTAACTTTGTAATGATTTACAGCATCAATTTGACAAGATATCATCCAAGAGGCTGCTTTTCAAAATTATGTAAAAAAAAAAAAAAATAATAATGAGATCCAACTAGTAGACTGAAGTGAAAACAAATCCTAAAACTGTGAAGAACCATAATTTGAACTCAAAGTTTCTGATTTACACTGCATATTAATATGCTTATTACTTAAATGTTACAACAAAGGTCAGGTTGTCATACAATAGTATTACTCATTCAAAAATTATACATAAAAGTATACAACTTTAATAGCATACTTGCCATTTTTCTGACAGTATAAATTAGAAGAGTTTTGAAAAACAAAACAAAAAAGAATACAGTAAATTTTCAGAGAAAGTTGTCAGATATCCAAAATTTTGAATAGGAAAAACTTTTATTATAAAAAACTGAAGATTAATATAACTGCAGTATATTTTTATTTCTGCAAAAACGTAATTCAGAAATTATGCTTTATAACATTTTATAGTTTAAATTTCAGAATCAATATATCTCAAAAATCACTAAAATACTGATGCACTATTCAAACCAGGTACAAATAAAAATGTTTTATTTTAATGCTATGTTTCTAAAAAAAATTATAATTTGAATACATTATTAGTTTAATGGTATATAATTTAATATCCTTATTAAAAAATTATATAGAGTTTTGCACATCACTAAATCAAAATTTCCATGGATAAATTGATATTAAAATTGCTAAAGTACTGATAAGCTGCCAAATTTGGCAATGTAAAACAAAAGAATTCACATTACATAAAGAAAGGAACTTGTTATCAATGTAATACAGAGGACAAATTCAAACAGTAAGAAGAGTATATGCTTTAAATAAAAATTTGGCATTAAATTGCCAAAACAAAAAATTTCAAGATTTGTAAAAAAGCAGTTTTGCTGGTAAGACTGTAAAAATAAAACAGTTTCATAAAAATTGGCAGCTATGGAACAATAAAAGTACTGCATGTTAAAAATATTACTGAACAAAAAATGAATTGTATCAATTTTTTTAAATAAAATAAAAGATTAATTTTTAAATAATAAGTATTCAAAAAACTAAATAACACTGGGGGGGGATTTCTTGTCAAATTACTGGCAAATTTTCTCTCTTATCTGAGAGAAAATCAAGTAAATACTAGATGCCCCCCGAAAAAAATTTTGCCAGAATATGGAATACTTCTTATTTTATCCATAAAAATAATTTTGTAACTGTGTCAAAGAGCTTAAAATAATTTTTGAGTTCATTTAACCGCTATTTAAGATCAACTGAAAAGCTTCCAAATATGTAAAATTATATTTTATAAATAATTTTTTAATGGCAGCATAGTACTACGAAATTCTGACTCTTTAAACAGTGCATGCTAAAAGATCTCATACATAAAGATTTTTTTTTTTTTTTTTTAAAGCTATGTTAGTTAGCAGTCACAGTATTCAATATTTAAAGCAATACAACTGTATTAAGTACTTAAAAATTAAAAAACAACATAAACTGATACTTCAAATTAAAGCTATAGGCTTTTTTTTCCTTGTGCAAATCGTAGAGTTAATTAAAATCAGTAATTATTTTCAAATATTTCTATATATTTAAAAATATAATTAGCATTTAAAAGTTCACACAAGACATTAGCAGGCATACAAGGATATTATAACTGCTGAAACAATTTCATATGCTAAGCACTTTAAGTATGGCAAATGTTGATAGTATGGCACACACTGATTTGACAAATCCCAAGCAAAATTTTCACTGTAGAAAATGAAAATATTTGTGATCTTATGATCAAAACCATTTTTATACGATGAATTCAATTGGAGTGTTTCTTGAAACAACATGCCAAACACACTGCTACACATTATCATAAATTATTATTTACCTTCATTATTAGATAAGCATGCCTTTTGTTCTAACTCCACAATTTTCCACAATGGAATAATAAATGCAGAATTTCTAAAATATATATCAGATTCACCATACTGCCAGAGAGCAAAACAACTAAATGGATTGAAAGTGATAAAAGTCAGCCAATTGAGGAGAAATCAGCAGATGGCTGATTTCTTTTCCTTAAGGGAAAGGAATGAAGAAGAAGGCTGATAAAACATTTCTGCAGAATGTAATAATCACTACAGTTATGGAGATTTAATGAATCTTCACAGCTTTTTTGTAATGATTTAGGAAGTAAAGTTCTCGAACTATCAAGCAAGCTGGCTAACGAATGCTATTTGTTAAGGCTGTATGTGAAAGTAATACTGTACAGTAATTAAAAAAATTAAATTATGCATACTCTGTAGTAAGTTTTCAATCACCAAACCTAATGGATAATCTGGAATGTTTGATAATTCAGCACTGTGAATTTGAAAAATGACAAATCATTTAATTTTACTGTATAATAGTCTAATAATCCATCACATTTTATAGTTTAGTACTGCCCAAATCCTAAATGTGTCAAATTATCAAAACTTTTATTGCATTACTTAAAACAAATAAACACTGAGGATAGGAGGGAAGCTGTACAAGCAAAAATTCCTAATGCATTAATGTTTTTAACATAAACATAAGCAGACTATGATAAATATGTACTAGGCAAAATTCCTAATGTATTAATGTTTTTAACATTAACATAAGAATATGCTAAATATGTACAAGGTAAAATGCATAATGCATTAATATTTTTAACATTAACATAGGAAGAACATAAATATGTACAAGACAAAATTCCTAATGCATTATTTTTTTACTTTAACAAACATGATAAATATCTAGTCTACTTTCATACCATAAATCTAATTAAAAATAATTATGTCAACTCCACCCAAATGCTGATTCTTTATACATTACAGTTCTGATCAATTATGAAATCAATATTTTTCTAGTCAAATCCATTACTTTTCAACAGAACTTTCCACTGACATTATTGCTTTATGCCACAAATTACTTGGTTTTCTCAACTATGGTACCAGCACATAAAAACTGTAGGGAGAGCCATTCTTATACATGAAAAACAATGCCAACAAAATAAAAAAAAAAAAAAAAAAGGAGGATACTATTTGGTTTTGAGGGCCGTAAAAAATCGCCAAACTATTGTTGATGCCAGTGCTGCCAAAACAAATTGCGGAAACATGACTGAATGGAAGCATAAGAGTAAATTACTATTTCAGATCATTATTATAATTTATATAAAAATTGCTAAACAAAACTGAATGGATGCCTGCATTGCTATTTCACTACCAAGTTATTGCTAAAACATAGTTTCATCCTGTTGGTTGTTCAAACATAATTTTCTATAATGAATGATGCCTTTTCTTTGAAAAAATTCTTGGTAAAGTGCAGAATCGCCCACTTATTTGTTTTCCGCTTTTTACAAGGGTAAAAATAATTGGATTTTTGTCAATTTTCTTTTACTTTTTAAGTGAAAAGAGGTTTGATGTGTACATAGATAAAGTCAAGGGTGTGTGCAGTGTTGTTTTTATGAAATTTTTGGGTTTTTTTTTTTTTTTTTTTTTTTTTGAAGTGAAAATAGGTTGATGTGTACATGGATACCGAGTATGTGCAATTCTTAAAAATGCATCAAGCAATGGGTGATTCTGCACTTTATCCAAAATTCTATTGCACACTTTTTGTCATGGACAATTCCCAAATTGTTAAATCCATAGGATATCAAAAAAGGATTTAAAAATTATACTAGTATTTCAATGGTGTCTTAAGAAATATAGAACTATATCAATTTACGTAATCTGAAATCAGCACATACGCTGATTTGGCACTTTTGCGCATACATTTTCACTGCAATTGATTTACAGTCCTCAAAACGGAATAGTACCAAAATAAGTAATCAGATTTGAAATAAGTGCATAAAAAACAACAAGGTCCAATAACCTTGTTGTTTTTTCAAGTCTCTAGAATATCTAATTTTCTAATTTTCAAGTCTCTAGAATTAAATATACATATATAATACATATAACATATTATTAGCTGCAATCAAAACTTACCTAGAACCATCAGCAAGCCTAATTTGAACAGATGTCACAGGTTGTGATTCATCAACATTTAAGCTTTGCTGTGCTTCTTCTACATCTTTTTCTGATGAGGTAGTGGATTCAGATTGTTTTACTGGTGGCGTTATACTGAAAAATCACAAATAAATAATTTAAAACACATTTTAATAAGTCTAATAATAAAATAAAATGTATAAACATTATTTTAGAAATTTCATTTATTGTAATTAGTTTATTCAAATGACAAATTCAACCAGTTATACATATGATCATTGAGCAATATCTTTTTAAATCACTTGCTTTCATAATTTTGCATAAGCATATCTTCTGGAATCCACTGCATAAAAACAAAATGCCATTTCGAATTATGTCTGCAGCATATGCAATTTGAGTCATATGAGGGAAATATTTTTAAATCAACCAGCCCACCATCTATGACATAAAATCTATTAGCCTTTTAATTGCAAGAAATGCGACACCAGCAGAGTGTCACCACCACATCTGCAAAATGTGCAGTCCTAATCCATAATGTTTATATGTATATGGGATTGCAGATAAATATGAATAATGGCTTGAAAAACATGCATAGATAGAAAGCCTAGAAAATGTACAGTCATGGTGTCTGCCACACAGACATGACTTGCTTGATTATTACAGATGCTTTAGACCAGCCATATGTAATGCTCAACCCTTTTGTGACATGCAGTAGATACCATGATTAATTAAATCAAATGAGTTACCATTCCTATGTTATACCACAAAATTTCCCACAAGTTTCATAGTAAGAATTATACAGTCAAAAGTCATTAATTGGGACACCCATAATCCGGAATGATCTATAATCCGGACCTCAAAGCTACAAACGCATGCGCATAAGACCTTTACCGCTGCGAATTTACGTGTGCGCGTGCACAAAATACGTTTACGAAAGCTCGTTTAATGTATAACGGACGGGATAAGCTAAGCTAAAATTATCTAATTATCTATTTCAGTTAATGTTGCAGATTGCGTTGTTCCTTAATCTTCGAATTGGATCCGAATTATTATTTTTTGCAGACTGTTAGAGCAATTTTATAAAAGTAAGCTTGAACTTTCGATTATGTTCAAATAGAATTTCCGATTTATATTTGCTAATATGTAAAGGATCTACAAAGCGTAAAGTAATGTTTCGGAGTCCATTAAACAAAAAGTGGAATTGCTGCAAAAAAAATGAATAAAGGCATATCCTTTGTTTATCTAAAGTTTAACGTTTGTTCTAAACTTTGTTATCTTTAACCCGCGGTGGGCGGCGTGCAATGAATTGGAAGTTGATCTGTCAGCACTATCCTTATCTTAAGGGCAGATGTTTTCATTTTTTTTTTTTTTTTTTGGCTTATAATTGATTACTCAATGTAGTATTTCATCTCGATGTACTCCGTCTTTGATATGATTTAAATCAAATGTCTCCTCATTATAATTTGCTTCCGATAGCGAAGAAAGTGACAGAGGTTATTGAAAACAAAAAATTTCGATTGACAAATTAGTCGGTATTCTCGACACAGCAATTATAGGACTTTGAAACAGCGGAAACTTTGTAACTGAACAAGAAATTATGTTTGTTTATAGAATTAAGAGAAGAATGTATTATCACATAAAAAACGAAGCAACTTAAACAACTTACATTGAAAGAAATGTTTAATAAAGTAAACAAATAAAATATTAAGCCTTTCTTTTTGTAAATTTGATTGATACCCTTTAGATCATAATTGTTCTTTATTTCGTAAATTACGGTTTCATATTTTTAATTTTATAATTTCTGCATGCCATTTTACCAGATTTAAACTGATGATCTATAATCCGGAAAAATCAATAATCTGGAATCGCCGAAGTCCCAGCGAGTCCGGATTAACGACTTTTGACTGTAGCAGAAAACTTGGGCTGCAGAAAATTGTGGATTCAATGAATTCTGAGGATGCTTAATGAGGAACATGAAATAAAGTGGTAGCTAGTGTTTTGACTTTTTTGACCACATATGAAAAAGAAGTAATAAACTGTTAACACACAGCATAAAAAAATTAAACATGAATGTTTAGCATGATCAAAGCAGAAACTGCTGAAGTACTAACACGTATGACAATCCCATGCATGCTACAGTGAAATTCAAATACACAATCTCAGTTTGCAAGGTTATGAGAACTGCATTACGAGGCAGATCACATGCTTTGCTGGTGGATTTCATAGTACAAGGGCAACAATAAATTCTGCAGCATACTGCTTAAGCAATTGAATCATCCTATACAACTCAGTACAGGCATACTGTCTTCCTACATATGAAAATGTTTTTCAGTGGCAAGAATTTCTAAAGTGATGAAGAAGTGAAATAACAATTCAGGAATCATTGTATTCTAAAGCAAGACACTTCTGTGACCCCCTTCCCCCCAAAAAGAACCCTCATGCTATGAAAAAGACTTTAAGTTGGACAGCTGAAGTACGCAAAATCAAACAAAAAAATAGAGTTCCCAAAGTGTTAAGAAATTCCTTTTTTATTATTAAGATATCTTTGTTTAAAAAGCACCCCTTGTAGAAAATAAAATATCACAACTTATATACATGTATTAAACCTTTGGCACTAAATGATTTCTTAATTCATCATTTGTTTTTTCATATCACAGTATACAATTGCAGTTTGTGCTAATGTCTCATTAAAAAAACGGGGACACAGTATGATTTATAATGCTATGCAGCTGAAGAAATATTTGCTTATGGCTTTCATTGATACATTATGTGGAAATCTGAAGAAATATTTGCTTATGGCTTTCACTGAGACATTATATGGAAATCTGAAGTAAAAAATTATCTGTCAGGAATGTAGCCATTTTGTACAATTTATGCTTCTTTGCTGAAAATACCACTGACTGTAAAGCATGGATAAAAAATGTATTATATCATATAAATGCGAAATGAATTTAATGGCCCAGTGTATACTTCTGGTTTTCATATAACAAGCTACTTAAGCAATTGAACTACCGTAATTTCCGGAAGAAAGGCCGCATCAGCGTAAACGCCGCACTCGAGAAAAATGACGGGAAAAAAATTAAAATTACACAGAAACGCCGCAATAGATTAAATTGCGCGTGACATTGTCATGGGTCATATAGATGCAAAAACTCAACCTAAGTCCTGATATATGACATACCCGTTAAAAAAAAATGCATGAAATGAAACCATAACTCAAGAATAAATCAAAGGTAAGAAATGTGGAAAATATATTTACCTTCACGTGTATACTTATATTTACCCACTAAAGAAGTCCATATTTGTAATACTCAGACTATATTATAAAAAATGTTGCAACAACGAAATATTAAATTTGGATGACAAAAGGAAAATTTAAATTTTACTTACAAATTACAGCAAACTATACATCATATGAAGACATCAAAATCTGATTCTTCACTATCTGAATTAAAAAGATTTAGTAAATCCTGATCTGTCTTTCAGATCGTCGCATTCATCCTCTTGGTTTACAGTCTCTTTATCTAAGGATATAATTTCAGCTTCTTTGAACCCTGCTATTATTGACGATGTTTCTACTGATTTCCACGCACTTCCTACCCACTTTGCAATTTCTTCACAAGATGCTATACGCATTTTACCGCTTTTGGTTTACGTATGCAATCCTTCACTCATCCAACACTCCCACCGCTTTCGGACTTCAGCTTTGAAGGATTTATTACCTGAATCTAATGGTTGTAATCTAACGATTGTAAGATTTTGTCAAACCACCAGGAATTATTTCTTCAGTCGTAGACAATTTTGACATCTGGTTTTTACTGACTCAAAGAAATGAGCACGCATGGAATCCATTATCAATAACCCCTTTGGTTGGAAAAAGGATCCCATACGACACTGCCAAACTTTTTGTAGCCACTCATGCATGACTTGTTTCGCACATCTAGCCGTTCTCGTTTGCACAAATAATTACGTCATCATGAAAATCTCTCTTCGGAATAGTCTTTCGTTTAGAAATGATCATCGGCTTTAGCTTGTCACCGTTTGTGGCACAAGCTAACACACTTGTAAATGGCGTTCTCTCATGCCGCGTCATAAACACAGATACAGTTTTTGCACCTGTTTCATCAACAGTTCTGTTAACAGGAGAGTCGAAAGCTAACGGCATTTCATATTTCATCCATATTTATTATCTGTAACCGAAGAAGTTTTTTTTTTTTTTTAAATTTTTGTCAATAGTAATCCTGCCTGTCCATTGGTAATTGTTGCCCAACTGTTGTTCTAATACGCACAGAAATATTTTTTCTTTTCATAAATCTGCTACACCTCCTTTGAAATCATTTATGTTCATTCGTTTTGACATAAATTTTGCATGTAAGCGAATTTTTACAGTCGAAATTGCCATTCCCTTTCCTCGTTGCTCCTTTATCAAGTTTGCAAGGTCGTCCTCTAGATTTGGCCACCTTACAGTACCACTTCTTTTGGCTCGTTTCTGTTGAGGTATATTTTTAAGAAGTTCTTTTTCAGTTCTCCAACGTCGAATACACCTGTCGTCCACTTCAAACTCTCGAGCTGCTGCTCGATTTCCAATTTGTTCAGCACGTGAAATTACATTAAGCTTAAAACTAGCAGTATAGCTTCTGTGCCATTTAGGGACATTTTCAAAAATTTTCCGCTCCCTTCTTACTTAAAAACTATCCAACAAGTACCCAAGCTGATGGGATCTGTATCTGGCAGAATGCCAAGAAAATCCATTCATGCTGAAGGGGAAATATGTCAGAGTTGGTTATTACGAGGCAGGTGGAGTCCTGTCCAAGGCAGGTGGAGTCGAAAAAAATTGCAGAAAAGGCAGGGGTGGGGTGAGAGGATGGGTTCTGGAAGATTCATGGAATGGCAGAGGAGAGAGATTATTCAAACTGATGAGAATGTTGATTTGAAAGGGGGAAGAATGTTGTTGTTCTGAGATCTCGTTTAGGGTGAATAAGTGAATAAGGCATGTAGGTCTGTTCAAGGGAAAGAATGTAAACAAAATAACGTTAGCAAAAAGCAACTGAGTGGTCTTTTGTGTGGGAACAGCACCAGTCTATGCACAATGACAAGGCCATCCAAACTATGTACAATGACCATCAGAGGAAATATTTTATTTTTAGTGCACCTAAACGCCGCATGGGTAGAAACGCTGCACCCGCTGAAAATTTAAGTTTTAAACACGTAAACACCGTGGCGTTTCTTCCAGAAATTACAGTAATATTTAAGTTGTCTTTTACGATCTTATATGTTATCAAGTAGCAGCCAAACAAGAAGCAAGATTTATTCCTTGAAAATATTTATTTTGTATGAGTAAAAATTCAAGTCAGTGATAGTAATTTTGCTAAAAAAAAATATACATAGGAATGTTTAGTATGAAACCGTATACTTTAATGGTTTTCATATAACAACTAATATTTAAGCTGTTTTCAAGATCCCATATGTTATCAAGTAGCAGCTAAACAAGAAGCAAGAGTATTCCTTTAAAATATTTATTTTGTATGAGTAAAGTTACAAGTAAGTGACAGTAATTTTGCTAAGAATATAGGAATGTTTAGTAAGAAACAAGTAATATAACAATGGGTTAAATGCAAAAACATTTCTTCAAATTAGTTATATTATTAAGATGTTGCTATCTATTTAACTATTTTTTAGAGAGTTCGATAGAAAACTAGATTTAAAAAATAAATAAATAATAAATGTTTTCATACTTTGAAATGATATTCAATCAAGCAGATGTTAGCTCACTGTTAAATAGAAAAATATTCAAAATTACCTTCCCAGTCTAAAACCAGTTCCAGAAAAGGCTCGAACAGTAGGCTTCTTTTGAACATATTCTTCATGACTATGATCTTCAATGTTAAGATGAACCTCTTCACCTTTAGCTTTATGTCTTAGTTCTAAAGGAACTTCTCTGAGGTACACAGAAGGAAGAACATATAAAGAAGAAAATTTTATTAAACACAATACTGCATGTTTAATATATTTCATACTATATAAGTATATTTAAAACATGCAAGCTGGAGATGAAAACATCTTTTTAAACATTAAAACACTCAATTCTTCAAAAGAAGTTATCAAAGAAATTAAATGTACAGAAACTACTACCAAATTTTAATCTCTCTCTTTTTTTTTTTTTTTTTTTTTTTTTGTCTTCCAGATTTTATTTAAAATTTTCCAGATCTTATTTAAAAGACTCAAATGCAATATTCATATCGCTTTGTTTGTATTAAAACATAAAAAAAAAAAAAAAAAAAAAAAAAAAACTCAATTCTTCGAAAGAAATTAAGAACTACTAATAGGATTTCGTTTCTTCTCCCCCCCCCCAAGGAATTTGTCTTCTTTTTTTCAAACTTCCCAATCCAATTTAGGGAGCCATATACAGTCAAAAGTCGTTAATTCGGACACCCATAATCCGAAATGATCTATAATCCAGACCTCAAAGCTACAAACTTTCTGCGCATGCGTCGCGCTCACGCATGAGTGCGCGTAAGACCTTTACGGCTGCGAATATGTTTGTGCACATACGCGTTTAATGTGTAACGGACGGTATAAGCTAAGCTAAAATTATCTAATTCAGTTAATGTTGCAGATTGCGTTGTTCCTTAATCTTCGAATTGGATCCGGCTTATTATTTTTTGCAGACTGTTAGAGCAATTTCATAAAAGCAAGCTTGAACTTTCGATTATGTCAAATAGAATTTCCTATATATATTTACTAATATGTAATTTGTATCTACAAAGCAAAAGTATGTTTTGAAATCCGAAATCTGTTTATCAATTTCACTCTGCGGATTGGAAGTTGATCTGTCAGCACTATCCTTATCTTCAGGGCAATGTTTTTATTTTATTTGACTTATAATTCCTTACTAAGTGTAGTATTTCATCTCAATGTACTCCGTCTTTGATATGATTTAAATCAAGTTCCTCGTCATTATAATTCGCTTCCGATAGTGAAGAAAGTGACCCAGAGGTTATTGAAAACGAAAACATTTCGAGTGACAAATTAGTCGGTATTCTCAACACAGCAATTATAGGACTTAAACAGCACAATTTTGTAACTAAACAAGAAATTATGTCTGTTTAATAGAATTAAAGAGAAAGTATTATCACATGAAACGAAGCAACTTACATTGAAAGAAATGTTTAATAAAGTAAACAAATAAATATTATGCTTTTTCTTTTTGTAAATTTTGATACCCTTTAGATCATAATTGTTCTTTATTTCATAAATTACGGTTTCATATTTTTAATTTTGTAATTTCTGCATGCCATCTTACCAGATTTAAACTGATGATCTATAATCCGGAAAAATCGATAATCCGGAATCACCGAAGTCCCGACGAGTCCGGATTAACGACTTTTGACTGTATAACATTTATCAACAAAGTAATCCTTACAAAGTATGCATCAATTATCTCAAAATTTTACAGCAATAGTTAACCAAAAGAAAAACTAATTACAGGTTTTAAAAAAGCACTTGGTTTCCAAAAAATTTCATCATAAATATTAAGTTTCAGAGGTTCTACAGAGTAAATAGTACCATATAAAATTTCTACATTAAAGTCCATCAAGATAATTTTGGTGAATAAATTACCAATGTAAAACTGTGGCTGATTATAACCCAATTTCATTAATAAATCATTAACTTAAATTAATTAAAAAATAAAATACTTTCTATAAACACGTGTACATGTATGTTTAAAAATATCATGATCTGTTAATATAGTTTCCCAAACTACTTAATTTATACTCATGTAAATATCATAAATTTTTTGTAAGTTTATGCTTTTTGTAATCTCAACTGCTCCTGACTTTGTTTTACTACTAATAGCAATTCATCCCTCAGGCAAAAATAACACGCACGTTTAAACAGATCTAAATTTTAACGAAGCAATTTAACTATAAAACACCATAAATTAAATCAACCAAAAAATTCATTAATATCTACAACTCATGCTAGAGAATAAAACTAATTCACAATTTAAAAATTTTCTGCATCTTGCAGGTATTAGAATCCCACTTAACCTTCAATCAGGGATACGATATTCAGTTTCATTGAATTTGCATTACATCATGTATTATTTGATAGATCAGATTAATAGGTAAATTAGTATAAAGACAAAATTCATAAAGTTATTATGCTATTGGATGTTCACAAAAATTTGCTGGACTACAAATAAATAGAAGTAATTGCAAATTGACATTTTTTAATGGATCTTTTATTAAAAAGGTATTTACTCATTACTTACAGCATCTTAAATAACCTTCAATCTTATTTTTATTACAGATAAACTTTTAACTGAATTACAATTAGCATATAAGGGCTGTCTGCCTTAAGCCTCTGGCTGCTCATCCCACGATTTCAAGGGCAACTCAAATGTAGCAACATCTCCTCATCCCGCGAGCATGTGTTTTTCTTCCTTTATTGAGGAGCGCATCCCGTTTTTTTCCCGTTTTACCATCGAAATAAATTATATACAGTATTAGATGTTTAGTTTATGTTTTGGCCAACAGATATTGTTAGCAGTCCACTAAATAAAGGCATTTGAAGGCATGTGGTATTACGGTACAAACTTCACTTTTTGACGCATTTTTCTTACAGAAATGGCTGTTAGAAAACGTTCTGCGATTATCTTAATCATTTAATTAAATTATTGAATTATTAATTAGATTTATAATTAGACTAATTATTAATTATATTTATTGAATCTAGTGCAAAGACTGTAAAGTTGGACATTGCCTTGAAACCTGTTTTGAACTTTATCATACTAAACTGCATTTCTAAGGTATTTTTCCACAGTGCTACATATTTTCTTAAACTTATACATTTTACTTTTTTATATTATGCAATAAATAGAAATTAACTGTAATTTGACTGAAATTAATTAATTTTTTTTCTGATAGCATCTGAAATTGTTTTTTCTGCCAACTTAGTTTCTCTGTAAAAATCTATATAAAAAATATTTTCTTGAAAGAAAAAGTGCATTTTTCAATTCTCCAATATATATGGATTTAAAGTATGGAAAAAAAATTACACAATTTTTTAAGCGATTTCGGTCTACAAATTGAGCAGTCAGAGGGTTAAGGAAGCAATGTCTTTGTAAAGGACTTTCAAAGGAAACTTTATGCACATTATACATGTACTCACATTACAGATGGGAAAATCCATAAACCTCCCAAGCAATCAGCCCATCTGCCGATATTTTAACATGAGTCAAACTACCAGAGGTTAGGATTTTACTTCTTTATTGTTAATGGGCAATAAAAATGGAACTTAATAAAGATCATCTATACCATTTTATGGCTTTATGTTTTCCAAAGTAAGATTGCTGTGAAAACAAAATGGATTGTCGAAGACTCCTATGAACAAAATATTGTGCTTAATAATGCTTCAAGAAATTACTTAAATAAGCAGAAATAAAATTATCACTAGAGACAAACCATACTTAAGAAGGAAAAAAAAAAAAGAATTGCGAGCAACGAATCATAATAATGAGAAACTGGCTCTAAAATTGGGAGAATTGTAAAATGAATATGTATGCTTTCTTAACTGTTAATTAAAAGAATATACAGTACAAAGTTCGAGATCCGGACGTCACATATGCAGAATGACCTAAAATCCGGACCTCAAAGGCACAAACGTATGCTTTATGCATGCGCATTTCATTTCCTCCCCCCGCATCTAATAAAACATGTGGAGAGTCCGATTCTTAATTTCATTTTGGCACTAAATAAAATACTTTGTTATTGAAGAAACAATCATTTTAGCATAAATTTGTATCATCAATAATTTGGCTCTGTAGCAACCAAATTGCCTGCTTGGCTTACATCTGAAACCGAAACATTCTACATAGATACATGGTTGAATTTACACGTATCAATATTTTATATCCTAGACGCCAACCTGGCAAATAATTTTTTATTATATTTTTCTTTCATTACCGCATGTTTATCAACGCATGACAACTTGAATAACGACTCATATAGCGATACATAAGCAATTTTTTTATGTTAGTAATTGAATAATGAAGAGTATGGAAAACTTATGTTTTCCTGATCCAATAATGTGTCCTAAATATTTAATTTGAGGTTTTGCAAACGAACATTTCTTCGAATTGATAGTAAATCCAAGTGACTCTAGTTTGGTGAAAACTTTATCCAGATGTTGGAGATGAGTGTCGAAATCCGTGGAAAATGTAACATTGACATTACGTTTGGCAATGATTACAGATTTAAGTTAAATGTACTAAGAAATGTTGATGAAGAGAAATTTTTTTCTATACACTAAAAATAGATTTTGTTAATGATACTCATAGACCAAAAGATTACATTTAGTGCTCTTTGAATTAAGAATAACTGATTTGTTATTCACATAAACCCAGAACCAGCGGCAAGGCTTGTATGGCCGCAAAAGGCAGCAGAATTCAGGACCCACAGACACTGCATCAGGCAGTAAGATTTAACGGATTTCGTAAAGAAATGTACAGAAGAGGTAATAAATGAAGATGATATAAAAGAAGCTTTTCAGTGTGATGACAATGCTCCTCAATCATCAATCAATTAACGGATGGTGAAATCTGTAGTATGGTTCTAGATGCAGAAAATACCGCTACTGATAGTGAAGAAAGTAACAGAGGTTACTGAAAACGAAAAAATTTCGACTGACAAATTAGTCAAAATTCTCGACACACCAATTACAGGACTTCAACTATGTAACTAAACAAGAAATTATGTCTGTCTATAAAATTAAAGAGAAAGTAATTGCATAAAAAACGAAGCAACTTATATTGAAAATGTTTAAAATAAACAAATAAGTATTAAGTTTTTGTAAATTTTGGTACCATTTAAATTCATAAATGCTTCATTAATTCATAAATCCTAATTTCATATTTTTAATTTTATAATTTCTACATGCCATCTTACTAGATTTAAACTGGTGATCTAATATCTGGAAAAATCCCAAATTCGAAATCGCGGAAGTCCCGACTTTGTACTGTATTTAAAAATAAAGTAAACTTTTCCAAGCACCTAAATATAAAGTACTTTTTCAGATATAAATTTCAGTATTTAAAACATTTTTGAGAAAAAATTTTAAAACTTTTACCCTTTACGAATAGAATCCAGAAACTCCTTATTTTCAGGATCATGATAATCTCGAAGTGGGCCATCATTTATAGTAAAGCCTGTCCTCCAAAGTCTTAAACAAATTTCCACATTTTGAGACACAGCATCATCACCTACAGGGTCAGAAACAGCACTGCTGCTTTCTGAAGATGATCCTAGAACATACCCTGTGCCACGAAATGCTTTCAGTTTGGTTGAACTGTGTCTTTTTTCCGAAGAATCAACAACTTCAGCTCCAAAACTACACAGAAAAAGACAGCAGAATAAGGAGACAAATATATAAGAGCATATGCCATTAAAGGTTATCTGAAAAAATATTAATGACTTGCACATGATCTTAAAACATTGTTTCAGACATATTTAAAAACTGCATTATTTTTGTTAAAATTTAATACATAGATAAAACAAAAGTCAAAAAATAAAAAAAGTATAATACATAACTCAGTTTAAAGCATGTATAAAAGCTGCAATAATATAAGCAGTAAATACAGATTTAAATTTACTAATTTAAGCTAAACGAAAGTATTCAATAATATAAGCTTCTTTCAATTAGAATCAATTGCAAAAATTATAAAAATGCGGCAAAAAAATTAACAAAAATGCACAAACACGTGAATAAAACATGATAAAACAAAAACTGTTGCCGAAAAATTCAAGACCAAATGGAATACTTAACATGAAATTGCATATATATGAAAGCTGAGAAAAACATCAATATTACACAGCAATAGAAACAAAAAAAACAAAAAACAAAAAAAAAAAAAAAAACTACTATGCTTTAACTACAAAAAGAGAAGCAATGTGAAAATTAAAATAAACAGAGACAATATACGAAATTACACGCACCTCATTACAGGCAGCATAAGAATGATTTTATTAGCTATGACCTCAACAGTTCAACCATTGAAACATTAAGAGGGCAAATGTAGCGAATAGTTTATCCAACAGATGGCAGTATCTGCCAAGCTCCTTTGGTAATTGTCATTGCGCATGCGCAAGCGGAGTGTAAAAAGAAGTATGTTATTAGGAGAATGAGCTTTCGTTAATAATGTTGCTGCGCGTTTTCGCTGTGTAAATAAAAGTATATTTTTATATCATAGATGTTCTTTACTCTCTAATGCGAAGCACTAGGTTAGTGCACGAATCTCTTCTGATTCAGAAACCATTTTCAAACCGTGGATCACCACAATAAAAAGTGGCGTCCGTTACAGGACGCATTAGTTAGGTAAAGGACACTTTTGATGGTTTAACAGCAGAAATGGAAGCCTTGAAAGTAAGAAGAATACCACTGCGTGCAGCCTTCACGAAAGCATATAATAGCCTACATGGACATTTGAATGAGTCAGAATTGAACAGTGATGTTCTATTATCGTCCCTGGAAATCCTGGAAGATAAAGGAATTCGACTACAACAGTTGGATGAAGAAATATTGGATCTCCTATCAAAATCGAAAGAAGTCTCGCAAGAAGAATATACTAAAGAATTTGAGTCATGTGAGACTTACAAGGAGAAATTAATAGCAGCCAGGATGAAAGTGAAGCAAATCACTGTGAAACTAGAGAAAAATTTGCTGACTCATGCATCGGTAAATGAAACCAGAACTGTTGATTCAAGAACAACGGCAACGAATTTGAAGCTTCCGAAAATAAATTTGATTGAATTTACAGGTGATCCACGACAATGGTTGAATTTCTGGAATACCTTTAGTAAGATACACGAAGATCCAGTGCTAGATGATCATTTGAAATTCGTATATCTGATCCAGGCTACTGCTGCCAAATCGAAAGCACGGGAAATAGTGCAGAGTTTCCCGACAACTAAAGAAAAATTATCCGAAAGTCATCGAACATTTAAAGAATCGTTTTGGACGTGAAGATATTCTTATACAAGTGTACGTTCGGGATTTATTGAATCTTGTGTTGATAAATAATAATGCAACCAAAAAGGACTTTGCGCTATCATCGTTGTACGACAGTTTAGAAACAAAACTGCGTGCTCTGGAATCTCTCGGTGTGACTGAAGATAAATACGCTAGTGTTATTTTTCCGTTAGTTGAATCTTGCCTGCCCCCTGACATCTTACGCGTGTGGGAGAGGGAACGGGAGAGCTCGTCACAACAAGGTAAGAGCGATCTTGAATCTATTCTTCTGTTTTTGAAAAATGAAGTGATATCTGAAGAGAGAATTAAATTAGCGCGTTTTTCTTTTGATAAAAGTAGAAAATCTAAAAGTTACATTAATGATGAGTCTAATATTCCTACTTGTAATGATTTGTATACAGGAGACAAATTTAAAGAAAATGCTCCTATTAAGAAAGTTGAGGAATCGTGTTTATTTTGTGATAAGCCACATTTAACAGAAAAATGTTTTAAAGCTAGTACGCTTACATATCAGGATAAAAAAGATTTAATATTTAAGAAGGGTTTATGTCTATTATGCTTGAAGAAAAACCATATTTCTCGTAACTGTAAGTCCAAGGTTAAGTGTTTAATTTGCCAGAAAAGGCATTTGGCAGTAATGTGTCAACAAGTTCCTTCTCAATTGAAAGAGACTAAACAAGTAGAGCCTGTGGCGAAAAAATGAGGTCAATGTTTTGGCTAGCAGATCCGCGAGCTCCGATGTGTTACTACAAACATTAATCGTAAGGGTAAAAAATGGCAACAGGGAAAGGATAGTCAGAGGGATTATAGATACGGGTTGCGAGAGAAGTTATTTAACGAAAGATATTACAGATTCTTTGAAATGTAACAGTGTTGGTGAAGTGAAATTAGTTCATAAATTATTCGGAGGTGTAGAAACAAAAGAAAAATTGCATTCTAAATATATAGTTAATTTGAGTAGCCTTGATAATAAATATGTATGTAGTGTGCATTGTTTAAGTGAATCTGTTATCTGTTCTGATGTTAAGAAAATACCTAAAGGTCCTTGGTTGAAAGAACTTCGTAAATTAAATATTCAAGTGTCAGATGTAGAGGGTAATGCTCTCGAAAACGAAAGTGACATTAAATTGTTGATAGGTTCTGATATTGCTGGAAAATTATTCACCGGAAATATTAAATGTTTACAAAGTGGTCCGGTCGCGATGGAAACAAGTTTGGGATGGATTTTAATGGGTAAAATTCCAGCGAAGGAATCTTCGGGTATAAATGATTCTCTTGCATGTGTTTCTTTATTGCTAAACGAAAGATCAGCAGAAAACTTGTGGAAGTTAGACGTTATTGGTATAAATGACCCAGTTGAGTCTAAAAAGAAAGCTGAAATTCATGAGGAGACCATGCAATATTTTGAGGAAAATTTGAATTTGGATTCAGACGGGAGATATGAAACTGCATTACCTTGGGTACTTGGACCCCTCTCGCTTGTCTAATAATAAAACGTTGGCAGAAAAACGCCTGACTAATACGCGAAGGAAATTATTAGATTCGAATCAAATTAAAGTTTATCAGGAAGTATTTGATACTTGGTTGAAGGAACGAATTATTGAAGAGGTAAATGAAGGCGAAGTAGATAGAGAGCACTATTTGCCTCATAGGCCGGTTTTTAAAGAATCTAGCGAAACTACGCGAGTAAGGCCAGTTTTTGATGCTTCGGCACACGCCAAAGGAGAACTTTCCTTAAATGATTGTCTTGAGAAAGGTCCCAACCTAATAGAAATAATTCCAACATTGTTGAATCGTTTTCGGAAATATCCTCTTGCAGTAATTTCAGACATTGAGAAAGCCTTCTTGCAGATTGGTATAAGAGAGAAGGATAGAGATTATTTGCGTTTCTTTTGGAAAGGTGCAGAAGAAGAGAATACTAAAATTTACAGACATTGTCGCGTGGTTTTTGGGCTTAACTGTAGTCCATTTTTGTTAGCCGCTACGTTGAACTATCATTTAAATCGTGCCCCAGATCAGTTTGCAGTTACAGCCAACATTTTGAAGGAGTCCTTCTATGTTGATAATTGCCTGACTAGTTTTAAGAATGTTGAAGAATTGAATAGATTTGTACTAGAATCGAGAATGTTATTGTCACTGGGAAAGTTTAATCTTAGAGGATGGCAGTCGAATTGTGAAACCGAAATAATTCCCAACTCTAAATTAGATACATTCGTTTGCGTTTAGGGTTAAACTGGGATTTGAAGGATGATACTCTTTCCTGTAAAATTGAGTCACTAAAGAAAGAGGAGATTGTCGCGAGTAAACGAACACTCCTTTCTTGCGCGCATAAGTTATTTGACCCAGTAGGCTTCCTTTCTCCCGTTACCCTGTTCCCAAAGGTGATATTGCAAGAGTGTTGGAAATTACGATTAAATTGGGATCAAAAATTGCCAGAACATTTAGAAAAGAAGTCCATACAATGGGTAAAGGAAATGAAACTGCTGTCTGATGTCAAAATTCCTAGATGGCTTAATATTGACAGATCGGTTAACGAAGATGTAAGTCTTCATGTTTTCAGCGATGCCAGCAAGCATGCCTATGCTACCTGTATTTTCTTAAGAGTGAAGACCGAAAATAAGGTTTATTTAAATTTTGTGCAAGCACGCACTAGAGTTAAGCCTTTAAAGAGTATATCCATTCCTCGTTTGGAATTATTATCCTGCTTAATCGGAGCACGCTTGGGACGTATGGTCTTTTCAGATTTGAACATGCCAAATTTAAGAACATTCTTCTGGACTGACTCAACAACCGCTTTGTGCTGGATCCAGCGAGACGTACGGTGGGGAACTTTCGTTTGGAATCGTGTCCAAGAAATCAGAACACTTACAAAAATAGAAGATTGGCATTACATCCCTTCGGAGCTGAATGCCGCCGATCTCCCTTCTAGAGGCTGTTCAGTTAAACAGTTTTTGCTGTCGAAATGGTGGGAGGGCCCATCATGGCTGTTTTATGAATCCCACCATCATGAAATGGTGGGAGGGCCCATCATGGCATCTTTAGGTATTTTCCCAGTGACAATGAACCAGAATCGTCATGGTCAAGAGGCACCGATTTGCCGGACGAAGAGATCATAAATTCAGAAAGGCGTAAATCAGTATTGACAACTCTTAACAAAGATTCTAAACCTGACAATTGGTATTACAGGTACTTTTCATCCATAAAGAAAATTGTACGCATGTTAGGTTGGATTCTTAGGTTTTACTTTAAATTACGAAGAATTACAAACGAAACCTCCAAAATTTTGTCAGTTTCGGAAATTGAAAGAGCTGAGATAACTCTTATGTTATTGGTTCAAAGAGAATCATTTAAGAGTGTGAACGATGATAAAAATTAAAGACCTCAGACCTATAGTTGATCGTGATGGTTTGATCAGAGCTAAAACCAATATTTCTTATCGCGACGATACTGATGACTTTAAGTTTCCTGTCATTTTGCCATCTGATCATGCAGTAGTAAACTTACTAATAATGAATGCACATAATGAGCTGCTGCATGCTGGTACTTCTATGGTGATGTCTCATTTGCGGGAAAAGTATTGGATCCTCAAAACTCGTAAGACAGTACGAAACTGCATTAGAAAATGTGTTAAATGTCAAAGATTTAAATCCAAAAGTTGTGATGTAACTCCAGGAATTTTGCCGAAAGATAGAGTACGTGATGCAAATGTTTTTGAGATAGTGGGTGTCGATCTGGCAGGACCCCTCTACCTTAAAGGATGGTCGAAAAGCTTATATTGTTCTTTACACATGTGCGGTCTATAGGGCCATTCATCTGGAGTCAGTAACATCCTTGACAACTGAAGCTTTTTTCCAGTCATTGAGACGTTTCATTTCTCGTCGCGGAAGACCATCTATAATATACTCAGACAATGGCAGTAATTTTAAAGGAGCGGAGAGCCTTCTGCATACAATTGATTGGGAGAGTCTGCGATCAAAGGCCGCTGAGCAAAGAATTCAGTGGAAATTTATTCCTCCTTCCGCACCTTGGTGGGGCGGTTGGTGGGAACGTTTAGTTCAAATGGTGAAACAGATTCTGAGAAAAGTTCTAGGTCGTGCTGCCCTGGATTACGAGGAGTTGCTTACAGTACTATGCGACTGTGAGAGAGTAATCAATACTAGGCCACTTACCTACGTGTCGGAAGACGTTGAAGATTCATCCCCATTAACTCCAGAAATGTTCTTGCGGGAGATTTCCAAATCAGGAGTACCTGATATCGATACAGTGGATAAGGAAAAAACTGAGTAAAAACGAGCTAAGTATCTACAAAAGGTGAGAGAACAACTTAGAGCAAGATTCCGTGTGGAATATCTAGGACAGTTACGTCAGCAGTCCATTAAAAACTCTATAGCTAAACCTCTCCAGGTGGGTGAAATTGTTCTACTTGAAGATAACAACAAAAAACGTGCTTTTTGGAACCTGGCGCGTGTCATAAAGCTGCTACCTGGTCGTGATGGACAAATAAGACTTGCTGTCATAAAAACAGAGACTTCTGAGTTTCTGAGACCAGTGCAAAGACTGTACAGACTTGAGCTGGATAACCCAGTCCAAAAGGATATGATGACTGAAAATATTCCTATGACTACCAGCAGTGGTAGAACTGTGAAACCAGTGATACGTCTGTGAAATGTTTTGTACTTGTTTGAATACTTTGTAATAATTTGATTTATTTTTATTTTTCTAGGTTTAGTATTATCTGTTAATATGTCTAGAAAATTATGGAATGCTGCATCTCCAGGTAAATTTGTATTTCAATTTAATTAGAACATCTTGGTAGGCATAATTTTATACTTCAATATTGTATACTGTACTATTATGCATATATTATACTTAACAGATGTGTGAATTTACCTCCCAGTAAATTCAGGTGGGAGGAATATGTAGCGAATAGTTTATCCAACAGATGGCAGTATCTGCCAAGCTCCTTTGGTAATTGTCATTGCGCATGCGCAAGCGGAGTGTAAAAAGAAGTATGTTATTAGGAGAATGAGCTTTCGTTAATAATGTTGCTGCGCGTTTTCGCTGTGTAAATAAAAGTATATTTTTATATCATAGATGTTCTTTACTCTCTAATGCGAAGCACTAGGTTAGTGCACGAATCTCTTCTGATTCAGAAACCATTTTCAAACCGTGGATCACCACAGCAAATAAGAAAGACTTTGCCACTATTTTTTTTCGCCCTAGGTAATGAAAAGTCAACATCCTCCAAGGGGACCTTCGACGGACGGGCGCTGTACAGTCCTGAAGTGGAATGGGTACATGCCATAGTAATGAAGTTTCTACAACAAAGTGTGTTGTTTTCTATGGAGCAAGGGATGAATGCTCATCAAAACCCACTAGGAAATGCAACCCACATATGATGAATCATGTCTTATTTTGAGTAGTATGAGGTGGTATGTTACGGTTTCGTAAAGGCTGTAAAACCTGCATGACAATAAGCAGTTGGGAAAGCCACATTCTCTTCTGAGTGACAACATTTCCTGCGTGTATACAATGGTGAAAGCAGATTGCCATATGCACCTCGAAGGCATTTCTTGGGAGCTTGGCATTTTATATGAAAGCACTTACAACATCCTTCATGGGTACTGGAAGGTTTCACATCAGTAGGTGTCTGATCCTACAAGCCTACAAGCTCTGATCATTTCACTGAGAGAATTTGGACCACTCACCATACAAAACGAACCTTGCCCTAGTGATTTCCACATTTTTAGCCTGCTGCTGAAATTCCTTGGCATGATAGCAATTTACATGCCACAATGCAGCCAAGACAGCAGCCCAACAGTGGTTCCACAGCCAGCTGGACGAATTCTACCACCGGGCCATCTCAAATTTAGTATTACTATGAGACAAATGTCTGAACCAGTGTAGCAACTACCTAGAAAAATAGTATACAATATGTAGAATAATACAGTACAAAGTCTGAAATTCGGATGTCCATTATCCGGAATGATCTAAAATCCGGACCTCAAAACCACCAACAAAATTTTTCTCGTAGGTTTTACGCATGTGCATTTGAATTCCCCCTCCACGCATAATAAAACATCTGGAGAGTCCCGATTCTTAATTTTACTTCGACACTAAATAAAATACCTTGTTATTGAAGAAACAATCATTTTAGCATAAATTTGTAAGATCAGTAATTTGGCTCCATTGCTGTGTATTTGCTTGGCACGCATCTCAAACCAAAACATTCCACATAGATACATTGTTGATCTGACACCAACCTGACCGAGTCATTATTTATTATACTTTCCTTCCATTACCACATGTTTATCAAAACATGACAACTTGAGTAATGACTCATGTAGACTCATGGCATCTCAAACTGAAACATTCCACATAGATACATCATTGATCTGACACCAACCTGACCGAGTCATTATTTATTATACTTTCCTTTCATCACTGCATGTTTGTGAACACATGACAAATTTTACTCAATGAACTCGTGTAGCGATGCACTAAACAATTTTTTTTTAATACTAGTAATTGAAAAATAAAGGAGTATGGTAACCTTTTATGTTGACTTGGCGACATAAAATGCAACTGAAATCTGTAATCACTTGGCGATGATTACAGATTTCAGTTGCACTAAAAAATGTTGACGAGAAAAAATTTACCAAAAATTTCTTTCCATATGCTAAAAATAGATTTTATTGATGATACTCACAGATCCAAAGATTACATTTATATCATAAATACTTCATTACTTCATAAATTGTGATTTCATATTTTTTATTTTATAATTCCTTCATGCCATCTTACTAGATTTAAACTGATAATTTATTATCCAGAATCACAGGAGACCCAACGAGTCCAGATTTCGGACTTTGTACGGTACATATATTTGTAATTACCTGCATGTACCTTAATTTGGTTGATAAAAAAATAGGGGCAAAGACTTTCCAATTTATACCCCTAGAATTTCAGAAAATTTTTAATAACATTAATAAGGAAAAAAATAGTGAATGAGCTTAAGCCCATCCCTATGCAGCTCTAGAATGCTAGCAATAAATAAAAATTTATTAAAATATGTGAAGAAATTAAAACAAAAATTATATTCCAAAGCCTAATTTTACATTATACAGATACATCAACAGATTGTTGGCAGTGTGTTGGCAGATCCTGGTTAATATCCAAGTACCAAATATATCATCTTAAAATTTACTAAATATGGTATTCATTGTCTGAATGGGAAAATTCAGTTGAACCTTTTAAATAGCCTTTTGACTAGAATACGTCTTACCTTCTGACTGCTTTAAATACTTCTTCAACAATTTCATTTCCAGCTTTTCGTTTCCCAGGGCCCAACACTTGTTGACCACTAAAAATAAAAACAGATTAATTAATAAACACAATAATTAGTACCTTAGACCATTTAAAAAAAAGTAAACATATCACAGTATACAGATTCCCTGTACGTAATACCTCTTATTCAGCTCCTGTGTTAAACCTGTAACTTTTTTTTACTATTTAGCTAATGCTTAATCTTATTTAATTCATTTTTCTTAATTATGATGTGGACATTAATTGCAGTTAATTTGCAAAGGTACTCTCCCCTGTCAAACATTGAACATTTAGTGGAAAAAGTGTCATCTTCCAAATATCTAACTGTTCTAGATCTTACTCGAGGTTACTGCCAGATCCTCTAAATAAAAGAGCTCAGCGTTATGCTGCTTTTGTGACAAATTTTGAAACATTTAAACCCTTAATGTTACTTTTCGGGCTAAAAAATGCACCATATGATTTTAGCCATTTGATGGCAGGATTATTAAGAAACTGTGAAGAATTTGCTGTACCCTATATTGACGATGTCGCAGTATTCTTACAAGCCTGAGAAGAACATTTGAAGCACTTCGAAATTATTTCAAAGAAGATGAAAATTGCTAAACTGCATATTAAGCCTTCGAAATGTCAATTTGCTCATATGACTGTCAAATATCTAGGTCATGTCGTAGGACAAGGTCAAGGAAGACCGAAACACAGTCGCATGGACCTCCAACCTAAGGTTATATACCAATCAGAGTTATATGTGTCCATGCGACGAAAAAGAATCTACCATCCACCGCTAGCGGCATTCACTGAATCAATGATAGTAATATTACAATGCTAAATTGACAATGTCATCTATACAATAATTGTTACATAATAATTTGTATGAAAAATAAATATACGATCAATTAATAATTACATTGTCATGGATAGGATCCATGTTGTGGAGAGCGGAACTTATATGTTAACCAGTTTTTAAACCTATGTCTTCTTCAATACGTCATGACTTCACGTTCTTCAGTTACACACCTAATGATGTGTGTCCGTATTATTTTTGCAGTTATCCATAGAGTAAGCCAAGTCACATCAGTTCAGGCAGTTGATAGTTCCATAGCCCAAAGTATATGATGTTATGTAGGCTATTCTATGTTCATATAAACTGAATTCTAAGTTAACTTTTGATAAATTTGAAGTACACTTTTGTTAAGTTCATTGTTCAAGTAAATACCACTTGTCCACTTCGATACATCATAACTTCGTGTCCTTAACAGTTTGCACATCTCATTATGTGTATCCATAGCAATTTGCACACTGTGTCGCAATTATCCACAAGGCAATCACAAAATTGCATTGGGATCCTTCAATTTAATATGGGCATGAGTGTATTTTACTATTATCCACAGAATCAAATGTTTTGCAACTAATGACTTGGCTTGGCTCCCAGATGATAAAAAAAGAAGGAAACTAATTCTAAAATTTTTCAATACAATTCAAAATTTTGCAAAACTACAGATTTGTTAACCAGTTCCAGTCAATACAAATTGACTGGTATTGCAACAATATAAAGCACATATTCTAAAATAAAAAAAGTCTAATGGACAACAGAACTAATTCCCAATTAAAATAGACATAAAATACATATTTATTCAGCACATATTATACACCAATCATCATACCATAAAAATACACATGTTTCAAATGCTGCAACTAATTTTTTCATTACAGTTAGAATATTTACCAATCAAACATACACAAATGTACATGTTTAAAAAAAAAAACTGCAACTAATTTTTTTCATGGCAGTTAAAATAATAAATTTCAATTATATACAATTATAAATAGCATAAATAAACAATTTCAATCTATACAAATTGACAGGTATTCCTACATTATAAAAACACATATTCAAATATAGCTAATCATTCTTGTAAAATGGCTATAATAGTGCCCAATTTCTTCAAATAATTAAAAAAATCTACAGAAAAACAGGAACCTCCTTGCCACGAGGAATTTTGTGGGCTTGGGCTGACTTTAGGTCAGACAACAACAAGTGAACAACAACAAAAACAAGTCATAAAAAAGTAACACTGCTAGCGAAGCGAAATAATATACTAAACGCATTGTATTGTTGCGTGCGTACGGGTTCGTTAGGAAATGAATGCACAAGTCCGACGAAAAATGAACAAAATTTATTATTATCACAACAAAAATGCTTAATTTTCCTCAGACATTCGTTCAGTATTACGATATCTTACAGTAGTTATCTTTTAACTACTCAAACGTTTAAGAGAACTTAATTCAAAACAGCTAGAGAAAGCTAATCCATGAATTCGCTAGTCAACAAGAGCAGTTTTCTAAACAAACTCTTAAAACAACAACAAACTAACTAACCAATAACAGACTGGTTTTCATGCCGCTCATATAAGCTTTTTAAATCGCGCAAGAATTTTCTCGTAAAATCAAAAAAAGATATTTATGTTTATTAAATGTTAAATACATGTGCTCTTGTATTTTTAATTTTCCGACTTAGCCTTTCCTCCTAATATTTGTCTCATGAGCTGCACTGCACAGGGGAATAAAACAATTTTAATTTATAATTCAAATAACATTAGCTATTTAAATACCAAATTTGTAACAGTATATTAAATATATTGCTGAAGACTATTTATTATCTTAAAATTAAAAACAAATTAATATACATATTCAATAAGTTTGCACTGAATAAATTGTTGTTCGCAGTGTAGTTTACGACAAGGTACGACAAACTGTGATTACAACAGGGCACAAAAAATGCTCTAAAGCTGATGTCTAGGGATATATCCAAAATTCTTTTCTGCAAACCGATATGTTGTTGACAACAATAGAGTGGAGTTTCAACCGGCGATGCTACATTTCCTCCAAAAGTTTGCAAAAACTGCAGTTCATACATAACACCTATACTATTTATATCGCTTTGAATTTATCAATTAATGCTTTTTGCAGTTTTTCACATAAATTGAACTGATCTTGTAAATATATGTGAACAAAAATACATGATGACGATGCATATGTAAGGGTACAGGGGGCGCCGTAGACATGTTCAACAAGTTGCTTAGTTCTTATTTTGTGTCTACAGTTGCAATCACAGTAATCTGGGCAACATTAATCTTTTTTTGTGCCTTTTTTGGTGATTGCTTGTAGTTATTGTTATTCTACATAAAAAAAGGGTAAGCACAGTTACATATTATGTTAAACTTAGGTTAGCATTTGAATTCACAAAAGCGACAATTTGAGAATAATTACTCAAAAAATGTTTTCTTTACATAAAACATTTGTTTATTAAACTAAAAATCATTATCTTCTACGAAGAAAGGATTGACATATTTACGCACTACCACTGAATTTAAAGTATACCTGTTTGAGGTTTGAAATGAAGTAAAAACATACAAGGTATTCTGAAATCAAAAAATGGTCTTTTTCCGACTTTTAGCTATACGGAAAACTGAAGGAAAATGTTTCATTATTTCATTATGTCTTATATACACACTTTAAATTTGACTTATTTACTTTAATAAACAAAAGAGTACCCCCACCTTCTGGAAGTATTTGGTACTGATCTAATAGTTTATATGTTTTCTAAGCAATAGTTTAAGATATACTCACTTTTTCAGAAGTAAGGTAAAATACTTCAAACAATGACTTTCTGAGTGTTTTTAAGAAGTGTTATAAGGTATTTCTCCCTCTTTCCTAGCATCCTTCGTGGTGTAGTGGTTCTGGACGTTATTCCAGAGGTCCGTGGTTTGATTCCCGGCGAAGGCGGTTGCTAATTTTTCATCTTTCCTGCTTCCAAAAATAAACCTAATGACTCTACAAGTGGCGCTCGAACTAAAAGGGTTGTGGATGATGATTCTCCGCACCCAGAATTTGGCGACTAGGTCCCCTAAAACCCTAGTCGCCCTTTAAAAAGGGGAGTATATAAGGTATTTCTCCCACTTCCCTAGCGTGCCTTCGTGGTGTAGTGGTTCTGCATGCTGGGCCGGTATTCCAGAGATCCGTGGTTCGATTCCCGGCGAGGGCGGTTGCTTTTCTGCTTCCAATTAACCTAATGGCTCTACAGTGTTTTATGCAATATTCCTTATAATAGTTATTTCCTACTTTTTATTTTTACTCCCTCTTTTTCTGTTTTCATTTTTGACCAGATATTGGAAGAAAAACAGAAAAAAATTGTCTAAATATCAGAATGTAATGAAGAAAAAGAAAGTGAGAGGAAGACTTAATACACCAGAACTTTAAAATTAATCAGTATCTCCAAAACCCAAAGAATACCCAATATTTAATAATATTTTAAAGTGTATAAAATTACTACTAGCACTAGTTGTCCATCAACATCTCAGCTACCATTAAAATTACCAAAAGAACCTAATAATCAGAAAGAGTTAGAAAGTGTTTGCACCCAGGAATTACCTTTAACTTAAATGCCAATTTAACTTCAATGCAGGTCATAAAAAACAGCAGAAATACTATTGAAATCTACAATACCTGCAGTAGCATTTGCCTGTGCCTGATGATTCCGGATTATGCTCATTATTGCCATCCCAAGTTCCCTTAATAGAAAATGGTCCTGAATATTACCAAAACCTGGTTTTGAGATTCAGTTTTCCAAAAGACAAAAACGGACGTAAATATTTTTAGATGTATTTTTGTCGAATCTAGCCAAACAACGAAAGAGTTAATCTGATTTCTGAAAACGATTACGAAAGAATAAACCTGTTAATGCGGAATTTCAAATTATTAAGCATTGGCGCAATGCTATTGAAAGAATTATCTACGCCATTCAGTTTTTAGCCAAATAAAACTTAGCCTTCCGTGGTTCCAGTAACAAATTATTTGAAAGCAATAATAATATTTTAAAGTGTATAGAAATTATCAAAAGATTTGACCCTATCATGTCTCTATATATCAATAAATTTCAAACTAAAAAAATATGCTTCAATACCATGGAAATAAAATTCAATAATTAGCTTATTGGGGGTTAACATAAAGCAAAGTATTTTAAATAAGGTCAAACAGGCA